GATGATTAAAATATATTGAGAATCTTAAATGTTAATGGTTGCAATTTGAGAAGGAAATAACTGGAAACGGTGGGTAAAACTTGCTATTCACAATAATTAACATGTTAATTTATGCCAGTATTGTTTATTTAACACTGCAAATTTAACTCTGTTTGAGTATTTTTACTTAAAAAACGGATTTCAAAGTTTATTATTATTCTCATTGACTTAAAATAGAGAGAATTCAGTACTTGATGTTTTATCCTTAAACGCTCGGAGACATTATACTACATGAAAGGCGCTCTGTAAATGCAAGTTGTTGTTGATGTTATTTCCTTATTGAAATTACCAGATTCTTTCACCTAAAGCTGAACAGGTGGCACTTTTTACAGAGTGAGCAGAACTGAACCATCACATGCCACAATGTGCTGTGGCAAAATGTGTTGAATTGTACCCAAGGACTCAAAAGAGAGCACTGGAGTGAAAAATAGCAGCTATTCAGAAAGCTTAATAGTCAACAGTTAAGGATTTCCTGTGCTTGAAATGGGATCCACAGCTTCTACAGGAGTAGATAAGGAACAGATCACAGTTTCTAATTTCTAGGGTAAGTTATAAATAAGTTAATTGGCAGAAATGTTCATCTCTGCTGACGGATATATCAGCAAGGATGGTTCTCACCGTAACAGTATGTACTGTATACAACACTGCTGGGTATTCTGAGGGCTGAATGCTGTATCTGACACAGTACCTCATGGGCTTTGAACAGGTCCACTAGCATCAGTAACAAGAATAACAATGTTGTCCTCAGCGTCTTGGGATATCCTCCTGACATGAAAGGCGCAATACAAATGTAATTTGTTGTTGTCGTCTTCAGTCATTGTGCCCCCAACTTCTGGAACTTTGCCTTTAACCCTCCATCTCACCCCCTCTCTATCCATATAATATTAATCCTTTCATAATCCTTATGTTGTCGAGACATTTCAAAGCACTTCACATGACATACTGTAAAGTGGAGTGATTCTATCTTGTGGGCAAAATGCGGCAGCCAATTTGCGCACAGCAAAGTCCCACAAACTACCATGGAGTGGGTGACCAATTTTATTTGAGGGAATTGAGGGAATTCCCTTCTCTTTAAGAAACATGCCATGGGAGCTTTATTGTCCACCTGAACAGGCAGACAGGATCTTGGTTTACCGTCTTGTCTGAAGACGGATCCTCTAATCTATACTCTAATCCCACTTTAAAACCTACTGCTTTGACCATGTTATTGTTATCTTTCCCCTTCCCTTTCTTCCTAACCTGTCGTCCAACCCCTACGAAGCATTCCAAGACATTATCCTACGTGAAGGCACTATACAATGCAAGTTGTTGTTGATGTCTGCATTGTGAAACAAATCTTTTAATTCATTTCTGTAGGAATAAAATCAGTGCTGGTTACCACACAAATAGTTAGCAGTGATACTTGAAGCAGAGGAAGTTAATTTTCAGCTTTAATCCACTTATAGGGTTGATATCATTTAAAAATGTGGGAAATAGAAAGTTTTATTTGGAGTAGCAGTGGCACTAGAGCTAGACATGTGATAGTATAAGAGAGCACATTCGCACACAATCAGTAGAAAGTGAACGTATGGAGGAGTTACAACACTCATTGGGCTGTTGATGGCTATTCCTTCTGCTTTGGAAACAGTGACACACTGTGATCACTATCTGCTGTATTGTTATAGGAGGGAGCCAGTTTCACCCTTTCTATAATGGAGCAGATGTTCTTCCATGATGTACTGAGTCCTGATCAGACAAATAGACTCAGAAGGAGCTTTGGGAATTGTAGTCTGGAGTGAAAGTTGCGGTGAATCTTAACTCCTTCCTTATGTTAAGAAGCTCCACTAATTTTACTCCATTTTTATTGAGTAGTGAGGTAATAATAATAATCCTTGCATTTGATGTAGCGCTTTATTACATCTTCGAGACATCTCAAAGCGCTTCACAGAATATACTGTAAAGTGAATTGACTGTATGTTTTGTGGGCGAAACGCGGCAGCCAATTGTGCACAGCAGTGTCCCACAAACAGTTGTGGATTGAAGCGACCAATTTATTATTGGCTCCGGCTCCAGTCTGCTCCACGTCCCCCGCCCCAACCGCCCTACCATCGGTGGTCGGGCCTTCAGCCTCTCAGCCCCCAGGCTCTGGAACTCCATCCCCCAGTGCCTTCGCCTTGCTTCCTCCCTTTCCTTCAAGGCCGGTCTCAAAACCTTTCTCTTGACCGAGCCTTCAGCTCCCCTCTCGACTCGCTTCCCCCTCCTCCCTCCCTCCCTCCCCTCACCCTGACCATTTCCCCCCTCCTTGCTCCTCCTTTCCCTCCCCTCACCCTGACCATTTCCCCCTGCTCGGTCATGACCCAACTGTGCAGCGCCTTTGGACGTCCTCCTGACGTGAAAGGCGCTTTATAAATGGAATCTTGTTGTTGTTGTTGTTGTTGTATTATTATTATTTTTCTGAAGGAGTTATTACCCCTGGCAAAGCGATCCACCAATCGACTAACAACCAGGTTCCTACTTACTGCTAGGTAAACAGAGGTGTGTGGAGTAAGGAAACTTGCCCAACATTTCGCCCTCCCGGAAATCAAACCCAGGTCACTCGCTTGCGAGGTGAGTGCTCTAACCACTGAGTTACAGGACTCCACAATCAAGTCATAATGTATTGACTTGATTCTAAGGGGTGGGTATTTTTCAATAAAATATGCCCCCCAATATTGGGAGGGCTGGGGGTTGCGAGCCTTAGAATCACGGGCGTTATGTAAATGGTAAGTAGTAATAAGTACTTATATAGCGCCCTCCATGCCGGATGGTGTCTCAGAGTGCTTCACAGTAACGGATCCCGGGGCCGAGCCAGGGGGAGGGGGAGGAAGGTGACCAAAGGCGAGGTTGAAAAGAAAGGTCTACAGACGAGACCTGAAAATAGGAAGAGAGAGGGTGAGGCGAAGGGAGTGAGGAAGGGGGTTCCAAAGCCTCGGGGCATAGAGGCTGAAAGCACGGCTGCCGAGGGTGGAGCGGAGGACTCTGGGGACAAGGAGGAAGCCAGACCCGGAGGAACGAAGGCACTTATAAGTAATTGGGAAGGGTTTGATGCTGGTAGTCGTCAGAGTTTGCCTGCTTAAGGACCCTGCGAATGCTTATGTTTGTGACAACGCCCTCCCAGTGTATGTACCTGCATTTTCTGGGTATCCTGTACTTTGTGTCACACCAACACTTCAACAGGTTTATGTAAACCAGGCTGACTGAGATCACACTCCTGATGTAGTGCTTGACGCACATCTTTCTGACCCAGAGGTGAGAGTGCTACCAAATGTATCAGACTGGTACCAGTATATCAAAAGACCATTCTGTTAGTACAGAACACAGGTATGGCTGTACATTACACTAACTTCCTTTGTCCACAGTGCTGGCTATTTTTCTCTCACAAGTTGAGATATGATCTATACACATTTCCTTTACTATTTTGTGGTGAGCAGAGTTTTAATGCCAGATCACCTCAGAATCCAAATGTGTGTTGCTACTCAACGATGACTTATATCCTGCTGTGAGGTGATACTGCTGCCAGATAGTGTACTGGGACCATTTACAGCTTTAACAAATAACCTAGTCAGATATTAAATGCGGTGATGTAATCAAGGGCTAGGATTTAAAGTTGCACGAAATTTAATTTGAACAGGAATGTTGTGTAGTGCATGAATTCCCTATACAGTTGTACTGGCTCTGGAAGTTTCTACAACAGGAAATGCCTGCTCACACTTCCATTGGCACATGTGAAGAGAAGGCCTATATGGCCTCGCTGCAGTCTTCAAGATGCAGAGCTGAACAGCTGGAATCTATATAACTCTCAAACATACATAACATTCTGTTCATTTCTAAATGCTTGTCTATGTAATATACTATCCAGCAGCCTCCGGTGTTTCAGTTCAATCAAGAAATGGACTTTCCAGGTGGGAGAGGGAGGGGTTAGATCAGGTCAACTCTACTCAAAGTTGATTCTGCAAGCTACACTTTGAAATGTTAATTCCGAATGACACATTTGGATTCTGACACCAGCTTCCTGTTATGCTGAATCTCCATTTGCAAACCCTGAGGCCAGTCTTAGCATAACTAGAGACCACTTGGGTGTCATCCCAATCTCAAACAATTTGAATGAGGTCAATTTGGAAAGCTTTAATTTTGTCCATAAACTCCTGCACTTTTCCCTTAATTAAGTTGGGAATTTGTAAATGGCTTGGGAGCTCATTCCTAACTGCATACGTCCAAACTGGCTTTTAACTTTTTAATGATGTTTATCCATTGCATCGAGGACAGTTGAAACTGCAGCATGCCTCACGCAATGTGAAGGTTGCATAGATTTTGTTGATTTATGTATGGGAAATGTTATTTTCATAGAAAAACACCATATTTCAGGCAAAATCTAAACAGATGTGTTCTAGGATCTGTGGAAAGGTTAGTGTTCACGGCTTTTGGAGTTTTCTTTATATGTGATTAGATCAACTGCAGGGTAGTGTTTATCTGCCTGAGATCAAACAGATAAACACTACCCTGCAGTTGATCTAAACATATATAAAAAAACTCCAAAAGCCGTGTTCACTACAACAACAACTTGCATTTATATAGAGCCCTTCATGTAGGGTAATATCTCAGAGCTGAAACCTGAAGCCATTTTTCAATAATTTCTTTTAAAAACTACCAGAAAACCAGCTTCATAGTTGAGACTGAATTCACCAATTTGCTAAATCATTTCAGGACGAGTCAGTCTATATCTTTGACTGCATTTTCGGTCAGTCACCTCTGAATTCCTAACTCCCTTTTTTAAAAGTTTTAAAAGAAATTACCAAAAAATGGCTTCGGATTTCAAAGTGTGTTTCGGAGGATCACTGTCCAAATCACCAAAGTTCATATCAATGGTGGTGCGCTGTAAGCAATTCTGTTCACAATGGAATTCTGTTGAGCTTTGCTCATCTGAAGATTGAAAACATCCTTACCTTGCTTGGAACACTCTTCCGAAGGCTCCCTCTCCAATGTCTCGCACATACTCAATGTTATTCCTTGGGTATTCAAGGCCGAGCAGTTTAGCATTTAGAAGTAGGGGTAATCTCTGGTACATTGGGTTGGGATGAAGTCTGTCGAGCAGCAATTCTGAAGGAAAAGCTGTTAGAGTCGGTGTTTCAGCTCCTCTGTAAGTAGAAAAGAAAATGTGACTAATAATGATAGTATTTAAATAAACACTTTGAAGCCAGATAATAGTAGTCTGCATTTTATAACATCAGAACATCTCAAGTGCTTCACAGCAATTAATGCCAAGTGTAGTCATTGTTTTTGTAGGCAAACATGGCAGTTATTTTGTACACAATGTCCCAAAATAGCCATGAAATTACTTACAAATTTTATTTGGAGGATTGTTAGTCAGGGAGAAACTCCCTTCTCTTTTCAAGTTGTGTCCAGGGAACCATAAAAATCAACACAGTATTAGGCCATTTGACTCAGTGTCAGTGATAGGCTCTTCATTTTCTACCTAAGGGACAGGGATTTGGTTTAGTATCTCATCCAAAGGACAACACATCTGAGTACTGTGCTGGAGTGTCAGCATGGACAGCTCAAGGGCGAAGGGTTGAACACACAATAATAATAATAATCCTTGCATTTGATATAGCGCTTTTCACGTCGGGAGGACGTCCCGAAGCGTTTCACAGAACACACTGTAAAGTGAATTGACTGTATATTTGTGGGCGAACGCGGCAGCCAATTGCGCACAGCAATGTCCCACAAACAGTCGTAGATTGAAAATGACCAATTTATTATTGTTTTGGGTTTTGGAGGGATTATTATTAGGCTGTGTGTGGAGTAAGGAAACTTGCCCAAGGTTTCGCCCTGCCTGGACCCAGAGACGAGAGTGCTCCAACCAAATCAAGTTTACACCAATCTGAATTTTCCTTGTAGCTGAGATTGTTGTTTTCCAGGCAAGTCTTTGTTCAGGCTTTGCTGACTAGAGCTCCACATTTCATCATGTATATATAATGATCCTTGCATTTAATATAGCACACTGGGAGGATATCTCAATGTGTCTTCACATGATTTACTACGAAGTGCCGTGATTGCGTATTTTATAGGCAAACGCAGCAGCCAATTTGCGCACAACAATGTTCTACAAATGAAACGAATTTTACAAACCAGAAATTGCAATTAACTAGAAGTTGCAATCCAATGAATTTCTAAAGTTGCATTGTTCAAACCTGGTCATAGAGACAAACATAGAAGGGGCAGGAAGCAATTCAATTCACATTACCCATTTGCATTCCTTTTATGGAAATAATAGCACAAAGGCATCTCTCACCTTTTCCTATTCTTCCATTCCTTCTGTTGCCGGTGGCACATTAGAGCTGCGAATATCAGTAACACGATGACTGCAAAGCCTGAGATAATGAAAATGATGACAGTCATGGAGTAGGTTGCAGAGTTAAGGATCGGGGTGTTGGATGTTCCTGCCTTTGTCTCCCCACCTATTATTGGGGTTCCTGGAAAGAAAAGGCACATTTGAGAATGTGATTATTTAGTACAGTACTTAAGAAACACTGGAAACATTCACACGTGGTTGGCATGAGAACAATCTGTCTGTGATGGGTCTTCGTTCTATGGGGTGAAAAGTGTAGCATATAAGGTGAGAATTCACATTGCATGCTCCGTTTTGCATGTCTACACCCACCAGTGTCAGCAGGAAGTTATAGACAAAATTATTGTAAAAGCACACAGATCGATTTTATAAACTTTGTTTATTTCTCACAACATATATTATTGAGGGACCACTTCTGTTCCAAACCAGAAAGAAACGCCTGTGAGTCAGGCTGACTTGCCTTCCATCTATTTCTCTCTCCCTTTGGGGAACACTTCTTGCCTTTGAAGTTGCCTCCAACAGCCTACCTGAGATCAAGAGGTAATATAGGTAGTTCTATATTTCATTTGTACTTGTGGAGGATCAACTCTTTGCTTACCAGTAAACCATGGAAGTCTACCTCATAGCAAGAGGCCATTCAACCCATTGTATTTGTTTTGATGTTTGCTCCTCCAATAATGACATCTATTCTAATCCCAATTCCTTTGCTTATCCCCCATAGCCTCCAATGTTCTTCCTCCATATGTGCATATCTGATTCATTTATAATTTCCTCCAATCTCCTTCATACCAACAGCTACCCTTAGCAATGTATTCTATATTCTGGGAGAGAAAAACTTCCCAAGTTCCTTATTTATGCTCCTAGTTAGAATCTTATATTTATGTCCTCTTGTCCTTGAATCACCTTTCAGAGCAAAAGCTTCCTCACCATTTATCCTCCCAAGCCGTTTTGTTCACTTACATCTACTCTGCTCCAGTGAAAGTAATCCTCCAACCTCTCCTCAAAGCCTTATCCTCTCACTCCCAGTATCATCCTTGTAAATCCACACTGCACCCTCTCCACGGCTTTAGCATCCTTTCTATAGTGCGCTGCCTAAACCTGCACACAACATTTCAGTTGTGGCCTACCCTTTACCTTATAAATATTCATCATAATTTCCTTGCTTTCAAGTTCAGTCATGAGTGATTTATTCTTGGCTAGCATTGAGACATAACAATTCCACTGCACTTCTGACACACTGTATGTGGAAACACATACCATTGGTGCATAGACGGACATTGCAGAATTCCCATCTGATCGATCGATCCATAGTGTAGCACCAAGGACGCTCACTCTCACCGCCAGGGTTACGGCAGTAGTTTTCCGAATTGGTCAGTTCTGGAAATATTTCTGGCAAACGTCTATGGAAATGGGGAGCCTTTGTGGGTGGAAATGAAAAGAGGGATAACAAATCAAAACAACATTTATTTTGTCAGTGACAACTGCAGATCTCATGAGAAGAATAGGTTTTCTAACTCTGATGAGTTAAATGAGTTTTCAAACAAAAATTGTAATTCCACAAATATTTCTGAATAGACTAATTTTACATTTCGCTCACAAAATACATAGTCACTGCACTTTACAATATATCCTGTGAAGTGCTTAAGTGCTTTGAGACATCTCAGCAACATGATAGGGTGCAACATCAAATGCAAGGATTATTAGCACTTTAGGATGTCCTCCTGACGTGAAAGGTGCTCTATAAATGTAATTTTGTTGTTGTATTATTATTATACAAGTTGAATTTTTTTCTCTCTCCCCTGAAGACCTCGACTCACACCGGGGTACAATTCCATTGGTTCCATCTACTCATCATACCTATTTCAGAGGTCACTTTCTATGTATAGATAATACAGTAGTAATCCTTGCATTTCAGGATAATGTCTAAAAGTACATGACAGTATATACTGCAAAGTGCAGTGACTCTGTGTTTTGTAAGTAAACACAGGAATCATTTTGCATAGAGCAATGTCCCACAGATAGCCACAAAGTAAATGAATGATCAATTTTATTTGGGGGATTTTTGACATTGGGAGAAACTCCCTTCTCGTTTTGAACAGTGGCGTGGGATCTTTAACCTCCATCTGAACAGGCAGACAGGACCTCGGTTTAACATCTTATCTGAAGGACGAAACTTCCAACAATAGACTGCTCTTCCAGCACAGCACTGAAGTTTCAGCATGTGTCAACTGTGAGATCAAAGTCCTGACATTGGACTGAAACTCACAATCTTGTGTATTGCTTATACGCAGGCTGTTTTATTTATTGAGGAGCTTCAGAGCTGAGCCCAATCCTATTTTTGCCCAACAAGGCACATTTGACAGTAATCAGCAATGTTAAAGACACCTATTATGTTCCACCCTAACCTTGTTGCTGCCCCCATTCAACCCCCTTATCACAGACCAGGAATCAAATCTGGTACTTTCCACCATGTTTTTATGATAATTTGCATTGGGGATTTACCAACTAAACCAATTTTGGATTAATTATTATGATAGTTTCACAGTTGAGTCTATCCTGAATCTATCACAGGCTTGAAACAATACTGGATTTTCCAAATAATTTAAGACTTGAGATCAGATATACAGGCAAATAATAGGGGGTGATTCAGTAGCACTGCCAAGGAAGTGGAAGAAGGTTAATATACAGTTAATAAACATGTGAACAGTACATCAGTGGTAACTTTGTTTACAATAGGCACTAACCTGCTCACTCCATTTTTGACAGGAAATACCAGATACTGTGACATTCACTGACCCCTGGTAATATCTCCCTCGGTCTCTGTAACACGTTTCTGTGGAAACCAACAACAACAAATTGCATTTATATAGAACCTTTCACATTGGGTGGATATCCCAAAGTGCTGATAAACCAGGATGATAAAAACATGCAAGGATTATTATTATTATTATTACAATTGCAAGTGTAAACAAAAAATGCATGATTCCTGAGCACATCCTTTCTTTATTTAAGGAATGTCATTAAGATGTGATTTCTGATGATTTCTGATGAGTAGTAGAGGCCAAATTTGGATGAAAACGCAGGGACAACTTCTTTGGAGTCCAGTAGCTCAATTATTATTACTTATCAGCAATCGTTTTACATGTTCCAAAATGGCCTTCCAAGCTTATTCATGGGATGTTGTCATACCTCAGATTGAGTTAGGCAAGCCTCTCCTGAGTAAGTGTGGAAATAATATTAATAATCCTTACATTTGATATCGCACCTTATCATGTCTTCTCGACAACTCAAAGCGCTTCACAGAATATACTGTAAAGTGAATTGACTGTATATTTTGTTTTTGACCAATTTGTTTTTGTATTTTTTTNAAGGAATTAATACCCCCGGAAAAGTGATCTGTCAATCAACTAACAACCGTGTTCCTACTTACTGCTAGGTAACAGAGGCATGTGGAGTAAGGAAACTTGCCTAACATTTCGCCCTGCCTGGAATCGAATCCAGATCTCTCACTTGCGAGGCGAGTGTTCTAACCACTGATCTACAGGACTGGATAGACCACTTTAGGCACTCAAAAGATGATACCTGCTACGTGAGATTCAAGATAGTGTTCGGGCTCAGGGCTTTACACCCGAGGTTTGGTGCTACCATTATTTAGAAGTCAGGGGGTATTTTCAAAACATATCTTAATGGCATTCCTTGAATAAGGAAAGGAATGTATTTACGACCACCACAATTTTTAATCTAATATTTCAAAGCTACATAGGCTTGATTAGTTTTACTGTCAATCACAGCTCCTCCGCAAGCATTTTATTTGAAAGGTTGAAACATCAGGGAAATTGGCAGAAGTCCAGCTGAGTGGTTTTGAATCGGAAACGAAGAGGACCCTTGGCTCCAGCAAACATATTTTTNAGAGTTGAGGTCAATTCAGCAATCCTGGAATCAATCAAAACTTTCCTTGGAGCCACAAATAATTCTGAGTCTACAGCTTATCCACCTCATTTTGACATTACATTACATTTCAGCCTATTCTGCTCAGATCATTAGCTTACACTGACGGGCAAGCTGGCGATAATCACTTGTCAGCCCCAGCGGTGAAACATTTCAGCAAAATTGATGAAAAATATATGTAGAAAATCAGGCAAACTACAAACCTTTTAATAACAACAACAACAAATTACGTTTGTATAGTGCCCTTCTCATAGGGAGGACATCTCAAAGTGCTGGACAGTCAGCGATGTCCTCCTAATGTGAAGGGCGCTATAGCCCTCCATCCTTCCTGATCCCAACCCCTCGAGCAGGGGTGTTGGGATCAGGAGGGGGGGGGAGAGCAGGGAAGGGCAAGGAGGTTAGGAGAGTGCCCGAAGGTGCAGTCGAAGAGGAGGGTCTTGAGATGTGCCTTGAAAGAGGCAAGGGAGGGAGCAAAGCAAAGGGACTGTGTGATGGAGTTCCAAAGGTTGGAGGCAGAGAGGTTGAAGGTACGACCTCCGATGGTGAGGTGGACCGGCTGGGGGCCATGGGGCAGTGGAGGGAGTCAACAGGTTGATATTGGGTTAGCAGGTCACAGAGGTAGGAAGGAGCAGAGTGGATGTGGAGGGAGAGGTTGAGAGAGGAGAGAGGAGAAGTCTGAGGAGATGGAGCAGGAGGGGATGAAGTGGAGGTTGAAGTCGCCTAGGATGATGATGCGGTCAGCGCAGAGGCAGAGGGAAGCAAAGAGGGTGGAGAGGATTTTGGGGGACGATAGAGTAAGAGAATTTTCAGAGAGAGGTGAGAGGGATGGCAGAGGATAAGGTGTTTGAAAGAGGGGAACGAGCCGGTGGAGTAGGGGGATAGGGCAAGTGACGCCCTGGATATGAGGGCCACACCACCGCCACGATAGTTGGGGTGTGGGGCATGGTGGTAGGTGTAGCCGGGTGGTATGGCCTCAGTGAGGGGAAAGGTGTCACCTGGGGTGATCCAGGTTTCTGTTAGTGCCGTGATGTCAATGTTCTCATCGAGGATGAGTTCTTTGATGGCCAGGGTCTTGTTGGAGATGGAGCGGACATTTTGAAGACCAATGCAGAGTGGATAGTTGGCAGGGGGATGTGTGGGATGGGAGGGGGTAGTGGAATGGTTGGGAGGGAGAGTGGGAATGTAGATGAGGGAGGAGAGATTAGCCACTGGGGTCAGAGTCCAGGGTGGCTTGCAGCGGTAGTGGGGAATGAGGCAGTCGGTGTTGCTGCTGCTGGACAGCCAGCGCCGAGTGCCACAATGAGCCTCATTTCACTTTTCACACCTCAGATTTTACTTTACAGATGTAGGCATTTTTAAACTCTATTTCAGAAGTGCAGAACATTTTGACCCATTAAATATAGTTGGAGTGGTTTCTCCTTTCATTTGGTCAGTGCCTGCTTGGCTCAGTTCATAGCACTTTTGCTTCTAACTCAGAAGGTTTGGGTTTCAGCCCCATGTGGGGACTTTACACTTCTGGTTAAAGCTGACATTGGGAGATTGCTGCATTGTCGGACTGCCATCCTTTGGATGAGAGAATGAGGTCCTGTCAATCTGTTCAATTGAACATTAAAGTTTTCACGACACTATTCAAAAAGAGAAGGAAGTTTCTTCCAGTGTCCTGGCCAACAATTCCCAGATAAAATTGGTTATCCACTTTATGTCCGTTTGTGGGACATTGCTATGTGAAAATTGGTTGCCACATTCGCCTACAAATGCAGTCAATACTGTGGTAAACCCTGTGAAGTGTTTCAATGACATGATACGGTATTACATCAAACACAAGAAATATCTATGTTTAGGTGCATTTGTGAAAGTACAATAGGTCAGCTATACTGCAGGTTCTATGTTCATACAATGCAATTTTTTTTGCTTCAAGAACTGTGATATATCTATGTTAGCTAGAAATTCAATTTTTGCATTATTATTAACTATGGAATTATTGTGCTATCCTTGGCATTCAGGTAGACAGTTCCTGTACTGGAAACATTTCCAAATGTCAAAGGATGTGGAATGTTCAACATTTTCCTGAGGGTAACATTCCTGTGCTCGTGAATTTCAATGGTGTGCATTACACCACTATTATATCCACACCGTTTAAAACCCCAAATATTAGTCAGCCAAATGAGCTTCAGATGATCAATGTGGCTCAGGTTCAATCTACCTCCTTTTGGTCATACTCCAATCCAATGAATGCTCAGAAAATTCACAATTTGGGCTCTGGCTTTTCCTGACTTTTGAAGCAAAAATATTCTGAGCCGTAATGAATTGAAACAGAAAGAGACAGCAAGAAGTTGAAAGATCTTAAAGTTACCAATTTAAGTAACAAACGCCCTCCTCTGCCACAAACGCCCTCCTCCGCCACAAACTCCGCTACAAATGCCCCTTCCATTACAAACCTGTACACACAGTGTGCTTGGCCCCAGGCCTCTGGTCATTGTTTTCTCGACACTGCTACTGTGAGTGGAGCGGCTCCAGTCACGGATGCATGACATCGGGGGGTGTTGGGATTGCGGAGATAGCGCAAGAGGGAAATAGGCTTCGCCCACCAGTGAGTGAAATAGCAGCTGCGGGACACGACTTGTGTCTATTTGCCTGACCCCTAACCTAATCTGAACTCCTGCTACCAATTTTTGTTCAGTGCTGAACTATTCAAATGAACATTTTTAGTATTTTAAACATGACTACGTCTTCAGGAAATATATACCTACAGTTTTAATGTGGGTTGTTTCACAAAATCTGTCTCTCAATAGCACTAATCAACCCTCTACAATTTTCCACAAAATTTGTCAAATGCCCCCCAATTGTTGGTAAATGTTTCTGCCCAAAGTGGATCTGCTCAGCTGCCTCTGCCCTTCCAACCACTAGCCCCTCCCCATCTCCCCTTCACACCCCCGTCCCCATCCATCCCTCCCTCCACACCTTCGAACTTGTCCCCATCTCCTCTCTGATCACCACCATAACCTACGTGAAACCGACCACCTGATCCCTCAACCCCATCCCTACTCCACTCCTTACCTCCCAGCTCCACCTCATTGCCCCTCTACTCACATACGTCCTAAACCTCTCCCAGTCCACTGGCACCATTCCCAACCCTTTAAAAATGTCCGTCATCACTTCTATCCTTAAAAAACCCTCCCTGGACCCATCCCTGCCTTCAAATTACCACCCATTTCCAATCTCCCTTTGCCTTCCAAGGTCCTGGAAAGAGTTGCTGCTTCCCAGCTTCACACCTTCTCTCTTGCCACTCCCTTCACAAACTCCTCCAATTGGGTTTCCGTGCCGCCCGCAGAACAGAAACAGCTTTGGTCAAAGTGACAAATTACATTCTGTCCATCTGTGACCAGGGCTTCCTCTGCCTCCTCGTCCTCCTTGACCTCTCTGTTGCCTTCGATACTGTTGACCACTCCACCCTCCTCCAACACCCCTCCTCTCAACTCAACAAATATTCTGTCAGAACAGCAGTGATTTGAGGGTGGAGGCAGAGAGATAGAGTTGGGTGCCATGTGGAGTCCTGTAGCTCAGTGGTTAGAGCACTTGCTTTGCAAGTGAGAGACCTGAGTTCAATTCCAGGCAGGGCGAAACCTTGGGCAAGTTTCCTTACTCCAAACACCTAATAATAATCCCTCCAAAAACAATAATAAATTGATCATTTTCAATCTACGACTGTTTGTGGAACATTGCTGTGAGCAATTGGCTGCCGCGTTCGCCCACAAATATACAGTCAATTCACTTTACAGTGTGTTCTGCCCTTCAATGGTTCAGATCGTACTTCTCAGACCACCTGCATTTCATCTCCACAAACGGCTTCTTCTCTAGCCCCTGAACCGTTTTGTGCGGAGTTCCTCAGGGCTCTGTCCTTGGTCCCATCCCTTTCAGTATCTATATACTCCCTCTTGGTGACATCATCCGCAGACATGGGGTCAACTTCCACATGTACGCAGATGACACCCAACTCTATCTCTCTGCCACCACCCTCAAATCACTGCTGTTCTGACAGAATATTTGTTAGACATCAAGTCCTGGACGAGAGCTAACTTTCTCCTGTTGAACATCAACAAGACCGAGGCTCTCCTGATTGGCTCCCATCAGCGCCTCCTCACCTCAGGCACTGACAGCATCACTATCCATGGTTGCACACTCCACCTTACTCAGCCAGTCCGCAACCTTGGCATCCTGTTTGACCCTCAACTATCCTTTCTACCCCACATCCATGCCATGACCTGCTCCGCCTTCCCCCTCCTCCGCAACATTGCCTTGCTCCACCACTGTCTCACATCGCAGGCCACTGAGACCCTCATACGCATTCATAACACCCAGGCTCAGCTATGCAAACTCCCTGATTGATGGTCTCCCCAACTTCTCCCTCCATAGGTTGCAGATCATTCAAACCTCTGCAGCCCATGTCCTCTCCCACATCAGGCTCCACGACCCAATCATCCCCTTCCTCGCCCGACTCCACTGGCTTCCCATTATACAGAGAATACAGTTCAAGATCCTGGTCTTCACCTTCAAAGTCCTCCATGAGCTTGCTCCCCATACCAACGTACCCGCTCTCTCCGCTCAGCGGGCTCCAGCCTGCTTCATGTCCAACGCCTCGACCACCCCACCATTGTTGGGCAGGCCTTCTGCCACTCTGCTCCTACCCTCTGGAACTCCACCCTGCAGTCCCTCTGCCTCATTCCCTCCCTTGTCGCCTTCAAGACCTGTCTCAAGACCCTCCTCTTCGACCATGCCTTCGGTCACCCTCCTTCTCCCCCTGCTCTCCACCCTCCCTGATCCCGACCCCCAGCTCGGGTCCGAAACACTTATTGTCCAGTGCCTTGGGATGTCCTCCCGATGTGAAAGGCGCCATACAAATGTAATGTTGTTGTTGTTGCAATTTTCTATTGGCCCAATCAATGACTAACTCTACTTCGCATGATGCTTAAAACACCTCAGCACTGCTGGTGAAATAAACAAGTGCTGCAGACCGTAAATATTATATTTAGATTTAGAAACAGCCTGGGAGGAAAGTGGAAGGAAAATGTGTTTATGTAGAGGAGTATTATTGAACATCGTGCATTGATTATTCAGTGCCATGTGATCTTATGCACACATTTTCAACAAACGCAATGTCTGTAATTATATCTGATTTACTGTTCCCAGCATGGCAGTGAAGAGCAGCAGGGGGCATATTTACTCACTGGTAATGAGATCTTTTTTCATGTCTGCAAGATAAAAGGGCAGAAAAGGAACTAATTGAGTACAGAAAATTGCCAGTATGCTCATTGAAGTCATTCATTAAACTGGGCATTGCAGTTAGTCACTGAGATTAGCTCTGCAGAATTACTATGTTGGTACCTGAAACCCATTAACATTTCAACAAGGGAGTAATTACCAAGAAAGGAAATTTTTGTGCACGTGTCTGGGTTCTGGTACATGCTGGGAAGGCGATTGCAGTCCGGCAAGGTCAGGATCAGACTTGCAGTGTAAAGTCCATTGCGTAAGTTGTCCTCCATGGACATCCATTCTCTGTAACAATAGAGTTCTTTCACCGCCAGACAGTGCTCTCTGGAAGAAAGAATGAACTGATCCAGGACTTAATGCAAAACAACAACAACAAGATTACATTTGTATAGCCTTTCACGTCGGGAGGGCGTCCCAAGGCGCTGTAAATCCGCCCAACACATTTTTACATATTAAAAAAAAGTAACTTAGTGTTTTCCTGAACAATCCAGCCCCTAAATAATGCAACAAGCAATGCAAATATGAGAGGTCCTGGGTTCGAGTACCGGCAGGGCAAAACGTTAGGCAAGTTTCCTTACTCCACACACCTCTGTTTACCTTGCAGTAAGTAGGAACTCGGTTGTTAGCTGATTGGTGAATCACTTTTCCAGGGGTAATAATCCCTTCAAATTATTTTTAAATAATCATTTGGCCACTCAATCCACAGCTGTTTATGGGACACTTCTGTGCACAATTAGCTGCGGCACAAAACACAGTCACTCCACTTTACAGTGCATTCTGTATTCTGGTCACCTCCCTCCTACCCAACGATCTCTCACCCTGTCTCTGTGAAGAGCTTTGCGATGTTTTCCTCTGTGATAGGTGCATTTTGCTACCCAGCGTGAAAGCACTCAGGACACTACCCTGCATGAAGGGCGCTAGACAAATGCATGTTGTTCTTGTTTTTAATTATAAATTGTTGGTGTTTAATTATCCACTGCCCACTTTGACTGCATGTTTCAATATTATGTTTCAAATTTACATTTATATAGCACCTTACATGTTGTGAAGAGAAAGGTCTTAAAGGATGAGAGGGAAGGGGTGCGGTAAAGACACTCCAGGATAGAGTTCCAGAGGGTGGTGGCAGATACGCTGGTGGAGTGTTGGGGATAGTGTCAATGGAGCCGAGCTAGGATGCGGGTAATAGGCTTGCGGAGCATGGTGCGGGAAAGGATACGCACTGCGGACTTCTGGATCATTCCTGGCTGTCCAAGGGGAGATGGTGGTGGAGGTGAAAAATGTTACAGAAGTGCAGGAAAGCTGAACAGATCAAAACAACAAAAAACAACTTGCATTTATATAGCAGCCTTCATGCGGGCAGGATCTCAGAGTGCTTAACAGTGACAGAGCTTGATGTCGAGCCAGGGAAAGGTGGGAGTTGACTGTAGGCAAGGTGAAGAGGAAGAGCTTCAGGTGTGATCTGAAGACAGGCGAGGAGGGGGCAAGGTGGGGGGATTGAGGCAGAGTTCCATAGTTTCGGGTCAAATTATAAATTATATATTTAAGGGGCAGTTGAGGGTTAAATGAGACACCAATGTTCCACACAGGCTTCATTAGGTAGAGTGTGCATCTAAGGAGTTTGATGCTGTCAGTGCCTGAGGAGAGAAATGCTGACGGGAGCCAAGCAGGAGAATCTCCATCTTGTTGCCATTCAACTGGAGAAAGTTAAGCTTATCTAGGATTTGATAATAATAATAATCCTTGCATTTGATAAAGTGCCTTGTCACGTCTTTGAGACATCTCGAAGCGCTTCACCTGTCTGACAGCCATCGGTCAGTTAATACATCACATGATGCAATTTTGTGATTGTTTAAGCTATAAATGCATGTTGTTGTTGTTAGCCTTGTTAATGAACTGTAGACTTGTCAAATTACAGCCAGAGTCTCTGCCACAGTCCTACCTGCACACAGGCTTAGGAGCAGGCCCTGATCCAGAGGGATCGCATTTCTGGTACAGAAAGCGGCAGAGTAATGATTCCGCAGCTGGCCTGCACAGCGAGTTCACTCGATCCAGCTCTGCCCAGGCTCCGCGAGCCAGCATCTCCTGCATCTCCTCCGGGTCAGCATAAGAAGAGTTGAAGAAAACAAGTGAGCCTTCTTCCAGAAGCCCTTTGCACACTTCACCTCGATATGTGCTACAATAGCCAGAGTCACCTTTGTACAACCTGAAAATGGAGATGGACATGCATTGATATCAAAAAGACACCGGTGTTTTAGATCTTAGCTTGCCAGGCAGCGATATCAATGGTTGGTTAGACTTCAGCAGTATTGCAACGCACACTCTGGGGTCCCCAAGCCTTGGCTCTTGCCAACTTGCATTTAATACTTTCCGGAATTAGGTAAGCAGGATTCGTCTTTCCAGAGAATGAGTGTACATTTCATTCCAACAATCTATCTCTGGGATTTACATGTGTAGGTGGGATGCATGGAATTCTCATCTTGGCTTGGATATTCTTAAGCATGGTGACGGGTTTCCGCATATGTCAGACAATCAGCTGATTCCAAAAAAAAATCTTAGCTTTGTTCCTTCCATCATCCCTTTCTCATGTAAGCCCCCTGTAATCATTCTAACATCCTGAACCTCAAGGTGAAATGATCCCTGCACAATGTCAGTATGCTATGAGGAATCCTTTAACCCAAGCAGATTATCCTCCCCAGCCACTAACACTGATAATCACGCTCAGTGCAAATATAGAACCAACACCAGTATTAAACCTCTCTGCTACAACTTGAATCACATGCTGTGACTGTGTAAAAAACAATTGGCAGCACATAGTTGTGGGCGAACTTCATTCCCTCTTTGCTGACGGCTTTCGGACTATTGAAAGGGATTTTAACTTGTTGATGTTTCCAGGTGATAATATTTCGCCACATCATTGTGAAAGGCCTTACTGTAGAAAAACATTGTTATTTTGGGCCAGCTGAAAGCCCGGCAACCGACCACCCACGGCTCCATTCAGCAAGGTTAGCCAGGTTTCCATTGCTGCAGCTGCTTCTTCCATAGGTTTGATCCAAAGCCCAGAATCGCTGCAGTCACAAGTGTAGGTTTTATCTGAGTTTCTGGGTTGGATTTGGGATAGGAGTTACTCTTTAACTCTTTAGCTACAAGCCTGGAAAGCAGCAGGAAGTTGTGAACTTACAACGACTTGCACTTGTATAACAAAGTTCACTTGGAAAAGTTGTCTCAGAGCACTTTACAGAGACAGGATGGAAAACTGTAGATTGGGAGATGGCAGGGGTTGGAGGGAGGTTGCTGAAAGTGCAGTCAAAGAGAAAGGTTTTTAATAAAAATATAATATAGATTTTTTTAGACGGGATTTGAAAGCTAAAGGGAAGGATTTAAGGAGAGAGTTCCAGAAAGTGGGGACAAAGTAGGGATACGGGACTGAAGCTCAAGTTACCAAATAATAATAATTGATATAGTGCCTGTCACATCGGAGAACATCTCAAAGCAAGTCCCAGGATTCACTGTGCAAAGTAGTGACTGTATACTTTGCAGGCAAACACAGCAACCAGTTTAAAGTCTAATGGTTTAATCTCCAACAATACAGCACTGCATTGGAATATCAGCCACATGAGTTCAAAATCCCAACATGGGCTTGAACCCTAAAATTTCTGACTCAGAGGCCACAACCTTAACTCACAAGTAAAATAACCCTGTCACACTAGGACCCACACAGGTCTCCATCATTTCTAATAGCTCGAATAGCAATGGGAGTCTTTTTTACACAAATCACTAAATCACAAATCAGTAAAAATGGCAATTGTTTTGGTAGATCTTTACCATGGGTTATGCTATCAATATAGGGCAGAACCCATTATTGACGATAAAGTGCCAGGCACGGAATTAATAATAATAATAATCATAATCCTTGCATTTGATATAGCGCTTTTCACGTCGGGAGGATGTCCCAAAGCACTTCACAGCACACACTGTAAAGTGAATTGACTGTATATTTGTGGGCGAACGCAGCAGCCAATTGCGCACAGCAATGTCCCACAAACAGTCGTAGATTGAAAATGACCAATTTAATTATTGTTTTTTGTTTTATTGGAGGGGCTTATTATTAGGCGTGTGGAGTAAGAAAACTTGCCCAAGGTTTCGCCCTGTCTGGAATTGAACTCAGGTCTCTCACTTGCAAAGCGAGTGCTCTACAGGACACTTGCTGTGTTCACCGTATTCTGTAAACATTTGTGCAAGTGGGGTTAGTTCTACTTTGGGTTTTATGAAAGAATTAAAATTTAAAGATATAGCAGTGGATGCACCAGGATAGTAGATAGTAGAGAACACAGGCTTAGAGTTGCAAAAGGCAATTTCAGGACAGATATCAAGAAGTATTTCATTACCCAGAGGGTAAAGGTTATAACTGTTTTGATTGGAACAAATTGAGTGGTTGAGGCCAGGTCACTTCACTCATTTAAAAGACAGTGGCAGGAAGAAGGTGTTCTGGAAGTGTGAGATGGATGGACTGAAGGACCTTCTTCATTTGAAACAATCATATGACCTTGTGTGTTGTTTACACTAGGTCTATGACCACTTACCCCAGAATTCAAAATGATTGATGTCCTCAAAGAAATGGCTGCTGCAACATTTAAAAATAAAAACAGACCACAGTGTTTAGCGGTGTGCCAGTCACTAATACTAGGGATCTTTTTGCTGGAGTTTATAATGGGAAATCGTTGATAAACTCCCAATATAGGTAGGAAACCATGACTGATCCCAGACATACCATCCCTCCTGTTATTAAGCTGTGACTTACCAAAGGGTTTGACGTATCAAGAGAATAAATTTGACTCTTTCTACATTTTTGCTGATTGTGATAAAAGCTTCAGTTACCTCATTCTCTCCCCTGTTTAAATTGTAACTCATTCATTTCCTGCATGGTTTAAATTGCATTGCCGGCCATCAATAATTAAACCTGTGGAAAATGTGACTTGTTTTACAGTAATTCCAACCTCGTCACCATATGCGACAGGGAGCCATGTGAGACTGCAGTTTAGTTACTGTAATGCTATCAGAGGCTTCCTGAGCTGGTTAATGAGCTGAGCAGAGAAGCCTTGATACAAAAGCATCTGCCAGCTCATTCACTCACTCAGTATGTATGTGAACAATGGCATTAGGCTAAAGAGTTTTACATGCTGGAGTTAATTATTGCTGACACCAACCCATACATAACTGAATGTTTGGGACAGGACCCAACGCCAAGGCTAAGTGATCTATGGAACAAGAAGTTATTGAGGAGTCTGCAGCACACTGCCTGTCTACCCTCTAATTGGGACCAACCGGCCAGACATACAATAAAATGAGAGAGTTATTTATATAAGAACAACAAAATTAAATTTGTGTAGCGCCTTCGGGAGGACATTCCAAGGCGCCGGACAGTTTCAGACCCGAGCTGGAGGTCCGGATTGGGAGGGTGAATGGCGGGGGGGAAGCAGGGTGATCGAAGGCGCAGTTGAAGAGGAAGGTCTTGAGATGGGACTTGATGGAGGCAAGGGAGGGGGCGAGACAGAGGGACTAATGGAGTTCTAGAGGGTGGGGACAGAGTGGCAGAAGGCCCACCTGCCAATGATGGGGCAGGGGGACATGAAGCTGAATGGACGGAGTGGGCAGGTTGGTAGGGAGTTAGGAGGTCACAGAGATAGGGGGAAGCAAGGCCATGGAGAGCTTTGAAGGTGAGGTCCAGGATCTTGAACTGTATCCTCTGTGTGATGGGAAGCGACTGGAGTTGGGCGAGGATGTGGGTGATAGGATCGGAAAGCCTGATGCAGGAGAGAACACGGGCTGCAGAGTTCTGGATGATCTGCAACTTATGGAGGGAGGAGAGGGGAGGCTGTCAAGCAGGGAGTTTGCGTAGTCGAACCTCGATGTAATGAAAGCATGTATAGAAAAAAGCCCTCAATAGCTTCTGCAAAGCCTTCCTAGGATTCTTGTATTGCATTTCAGATGCTAATTGTCAGGACATTCCTGTAATCACAGTTTGGGTAAGTTGCACATTGTTCCTCTATTAATTTTTAATACTATGGATTTACCGGTTTAATTCCCTGACCTAACTAGAACCAGATCCTTACATTGATGAAATTCATAATATGGCTCAGAGGTAATTGTAGCCACTTTCCCTTCAACCATGGCCCCTTTCCCTTTTCAGCTGTGGCTCATCTCCCTTTTATCCTTGGAGTCCTGTTATAACAGGATGATTGGGATTCATTCTATAAATTGTTGCAATAGCCAGTTTCACTGCACTTGTAGACAGCAGCCAACACTGCTCACCAGCAGTTCCTACAGGGTGTTCACAAAGTCGTGTTACCTCCCCACCACCCCTACCTTGTTTTTTTCTGCAATGATTTTTATTTTTTGTTGCAGATGAGTCAAATGTAACAATGTTTGATACCATTAACTTTCTCGTCACTCCATCCATGTTACTGAAGATAATAATAATAATCCTTGCATTTGATATAGTGCCTCATCACGTCTTTGAGATGTCTCATAGCGCTTCACATTATACACTGTAAAGTGAATTGACTGTATACTTTGTTGGTGAAAAAGATGTCACACCAAACATGGCAACGGATCATTATCTGTCATGAAAATGATGGAGCTCACACACACTGATCCTCTGAACGGCTAAATACAGTTAAATACTTGTACTGAATACAATTAAGTATTTCTAAATACAATTATCAATATTCTTCCACATGTTTCAGCTGTTGGTCAGTGCACTGTAGGAAATACATGGGGGTATCAGGACTTTGTGAACACCCCGTACATTTTTTGAAAAAAGGCACACTTGTAAAGCAGGAAATGACATTGGAAATTACCTGATTGCTTTGGCCATTTCTTTAATTCTAGAAGCCAATGCGGCCAACTTCTGGGTCAGCAGATCTCCACTGACACGTTTTCCTGACCTCTGCATATGCTCAATGGGTAGGAAGTGATGTCAGGTGAGACCTGATGACCTGAAAGTCAGTCATTTGAATACAAGTGTTGGCTGGCATATGAGAAGTAAATGGGCCATCTGAATGGGGTCCACACTGCAATTGCATTAGAATCAAATCATACCACAACAGGTCTGCAATATATTTATGATTTTCATAGACAATAATCATCCTTGTATTTAATACAATGCCTATAACATCCCAGAATGTCTCAAATTGCTCCACAAAGAGTTTGTAAAGTCTAGTGAATGTGTATTTGTAGTAACCAATTTGTGCAACAGCCATGAAGTGGATGATTAATTTTATCTAGAGGATTGTTTGCCAGGACACTTTCAAATATTGCCGTGGGACCTTTAACATCCATCTGAAAGGCAGGCGGGATCTCAGTTTAATGTCTTATCCAAAAGTTGACACCTCCAACAACGCAATACACCCCCAAGAATGGAGTGTTAGTCAAGACTGTGAACTCAAAGTCCTGATATGGAGCTAGAACCCAAAGACACACAACATGAAAAGCACAAATCTTATCCAAAAGGACATATGATATAAAACATTTAGGAATGAAAAGTGTGATACTAATTACACTAAATATATGAATAAACATTAGAATATTAGTCAATAATTACTGATTGGTTCTGTTAAACTGGCTCTATGGTAGCACTCTCACTTCCGAATCAGAAGGCTGTGGGTTTTAGCCCCACATTAGGACTTTAAACTTATAGTCTAGGCTGTCTCCACACAGTATTTCCTGTGAAGCACTTTGTCTTTAGTCACCACACAGTATATCCTGGGAAGCACTTTGAGAAATGTCAATGAAATGTGTTATATCAAATGTAAGGATCATTATTATATTCTGTACAATGGGTGGGCATTAAGGTTCATAAGAGACAGGCTCCGCTAATGTAGTCTAAGAAAAGTTTTTGAAAATCTTTTGAATTGTGACAATATTCACCAGATGTTATTGATTTACCACTGCTCTTGCAGACGGTAAATCCACTGCAATTCAAACCTGGGTCTTTCTCCTGCTATAGCTTGTGGCACTGAACGGACTTTCCATTCCCTGGCAACTAATTTATTTGGCTACCACCAGGGAAACACTGGAGAGAACTAGACTATAATTCTGCCAGTGTAATAATAAGTTTCTGAAAAAACAATCTACAAATAAATCAATTTTATGCTTTGCACAGCAGAACACTCCAGGCAATAATAAAACAAGGGCTGCAGAGAGTCAAGCAATGGAGTTTGTTGGTTTTGCCTGAAATGAAAGCAGCTTCTCTCTGGTCTTTTCTTTCCCAGTGGTATAAGTGGATGAAATTCAGGACAAACAGTAGATGGGGTGACAAATGTCACATTTCCCAATTGTTATAATGGATACAACAGAATTTCTATCAAGTGGATTTTACTGTGATAAACAAAGTATTTAGATTTAAAATATCAAGGGATGAAACGTGCGATATTTATCACATCAAATGTTAAGAAACATCAGATTATTAGTCTTTGATTTTGCATGTGAATACCTCCCCCGAATTGCAGCACAGATGTTGGGCGAGCAGAAATCACCACCACCATTTATATTCCCATCTGCAGAAAACTGATCCCAGCAATGCCTTCAAAAAACCAGCCAAGCTCACATTGAGTGAGGTGGCATTGAAACATTGTTCTTCACATGATCAGAAACAATAGTACTGGAACTGATGTGTGACAAAATACTTCCAGTTAGTTGTCAACTTCAACCTTTCAACCTCCACCAGTGTGCTGATGTTGGGTGGATGGGGAGGTGGGGGTGGTAAAGCACTTTGAAACGTCCTCCCAACATGAAACGCGCTTTATATCAATGTAAATCATAATATACTATGACATCTGGTGTAACACACTCTCAATATAACACAGATGTATAATGACAACTCGTATAACACATTCTTGACACACTCAATATAACACAAATACTCTGGAATAACACTCTGAATAATAACATGACCATCATTCTTACACTAATACACAATGAGCTCCAGTGTAACACTCTCTGTAACCCAGTCCATCATTATAACAGTGATACACAATAACCTCTGGTGTATTACTCTCTGTAACACCAGCCCTCATTATAACACTGATACACAACAAGCTCAGGTAAAACACTCTCAATCTTCACCATAATATTGATATAGAGTAGCCTCTAAAACATTCTGCCTGTAACAAGCCTCTTTTTGATGGTCCAGAGCAAGGCAGCATGACTGAATTTTAGTACTCAGCATGTTGTTACAAAGTACCTAACAAGCTATGTATAAAGTCTGAGCAACTAAAAATTAAATAGCAACGGGTTGAATACGTAGGATCACAGTTGTTCACCCAGCCATCAATGAAGTACAGTACGGAGTATTGCCACTGCAACTTGATACTGCAATCCCTTATGTTGTCAGCAACATCCTGTTCTGGCACTTATGAAATTTATCACACGACATACAAAAATGTGCAGAAGATGTCTGCTGGCTTAAGCATCCAACTCCCCTGTTTACTTCTATTGATACATTATTTATATCACTGCAGTCAGGCCTGGATAACAGCAAGCCAACAATAACATCACAGCATCCAAGGTTGAGAGTGAGAGACCAGATCGGGAAGCTTGTCTTATCAAAAGTGATCCTCCACATTCTCATTTGGACATTTTATTTCAAGTCTGCTCTGATTTTTTTTCTGATTTTAATCAAAAAATATTTCACAAACTAGCTGTTTATAGGACTTTGATTTATAGTTATGTCCTGTGTCCACTCCACTGATTCACAGGCACAGGCAAAGCGACAGTGGCATAAGCGGTCAGCAATCTTGTGGTACAGTGTACAAAGTTTAAAAGATCTTACCTCCATTCTACGGGGAAGGAGCAGAATCCATTTGGAGACCGGACAGAGAGATTTAGAAAGAAGACAAAACAAGAAGAGAGTTAGGTGATTTTCTTCCATCTGTATAAAAAAAACTACTGATATTTGGTATGTGTGTGTCTGAGGGGAGAAACACACTACTGGACCATAAAATTCATCCTAGTTTTTAACCTGTATTTATGATTGCGCATAATTGTAGAAAATTCCTTAATTTGTTCTGTTGCAAATGTATAAATGAAAATAAAATTAAACTTTAATTAAATTGCCTTATTAAAGATAAATCCCCCTGGCCACCCCTGCCCTCCCCCCACCCCGCCCCCCAAATCTCTTAAACATATAAGGAGCATGTTGCTGACATGTGTGGAGAGGTGGCAGGAGATGAATAAATGTATGGAACAGACGAACAGGCTCCCTAGGGAGAAGGAAAAAGTAGAAGTGTGAATTCTTTCAAATGCAAATTATTTATTTTTAATTTATTTTAGGAAACAATATTTTGGGATACAGTACATGAGAAGTTCAGCACATGACATGTGACTGCCAGGATGGTGGAAGGCAAACTGGATGGACCTTGGTCATTTTTCATCTAGCATTTCCTATGTTCCAGTGAGGTTTGCAGTATTGAGCTGTGCAGAAGAATGAAGTTAATATCAAATGGCACTTTGAATATCACAGCTGAACGTGGTTTGCCAGTGTATCAGAAAATGTTACACCCATCCCAAAGCAAACCAGCCACTGCAATTGCACTGAAATGCTGAGAGATGAACAAAGCAGTGACCAGAGCAGCTCTGGATTCAGTATCACTACTGGTCTGATTTACAACAGGCACAACATATCCTCACAAGCCCTCCTTCTTTAGCTTTCTTTTATCTCTTTCCCCTCCACTCGCCAGACTTCTCAGTGCATCTGCTGCCCATTTGGAATCGGGCAACTGGAAAGCAAACCTGCATGCGTCTGATACCATTTCATGAATCAGTTTGTACAGTCAGCATTTTATTGTGTGTCTGCACAACAGACTTTAGCATACTGGCTGAAGTCTATGCAGACACACTGGTCAACACACCATTCCCAGCAACTGCTACTGTATAGGTATGGTGGAAAGCACATTATGCCTGGAAAGTTGTGACCACTGTAGTACTAGGACAGTGTGATCCAACGTGTGTGTTAAACAGTGCTTGTGAGTGTGCGAGAATATTCATATGTAAGAGAGAGAACTTGTTGGCACATCTAGGAGGGAATGTGAGTGTGTGAGAATGCGTGTGTACGTGTGAGAGAACATGTGTGTGAGAACGTGTCTATAGGAGAGATTGTGTCTTAGCTTGTGTGAGAGAACACGTGTATATGTGTGAAATTTTGTATGTGTGAGAAAGAATGTATATGTGTGAGAAAATGTGTGTGTGAGAATGTATATGTGAGAAAGTGTATGTGTGAGAGAATGTGCTCGTCTCCTGGATTACAAAGATGCTTCCTGCAATTTAATGGTACGGGAAAAAATGCAGTGAAGTGTCACAGCAGCTCTCCTGGCCGAGGCTGCATACTAAATTTAGGAAAGGAACAAACCCCACTTGTGGTTGCCTGTCTTTCAAGCCCACACCTGCTGACCAGAGCTGACAGCTGCCTTAGAGATGCGTTTCATCACGTGGGCTCAGGACAAACCTGTGAAAGATGGAGTTTCTGCTGAGCAATGCTCGCACATCCACAGAGATGAGACCCTGTAGAAAAGAATCCCCTAGTATCAGATGTCCCATCACATGAGCAAACATATGGCTAGAATCTCCTAAATCCCTTCCCTGTTTCTGATATCCAGTCAAAGCTTTGTCATTTGAAAATCAATTGTTGCATAGGTTTCATTAAACTTTTCTCATCCAAGTGACAATTATTCCCCTTGAGCTGGCTCTGCAACCCCAATCCCTCCATCTCATCATCAGTGGTCAACCTTCAGGCTTTGTGCTCCTATCCTCTGGAATTCCCTCCCTCAACACCTCGGTTGCCCCCCCACTCTGCTTCAAAAGCCATCTAATATCTTAATCACTGTGCCTTCGGTCATCTCCCTGTCCCACTTCAGCAGCCCTCCTCGGTTTCTGGTACTGTCTGTAAAGCGTACTGAGATGTTACTCTTTGTGATGCTATATAAATGCAAGTTGTTGTTGCACAAGTTTAGACTGTGAGTCTCATTTGACTATGCAGGACTTCACTGCCGAGTCTGATCCATTCTTTACCTGACATTCTCAGATACAAACCTTCCAGCAGGGGACTGCAATACATTCTGACCAGAAGAGGTAACTGGTTAATGTCTGCCTTTCCAGAAAGGTATAGACTTACATATTCTGTGTAGCATGGAAACAAACCATTCAATCCAACCAGTTCATGTTTATCCTCCACATGAATCTCCTTCCTCTGATACCCTTTGATTCCCTTCTCTCTCAAGCGTATATCTAGCTTCCTCTTAAATGCATAAATGGGCTTTGAGGCCAAAGGCAGTGTCCCACCTGCTGTCCTGGCTCAAATCAACTAACTCTCAGCAGGGACTGGGAAGAAAGCCATTGCCAATCTGGTCTGCAAAGCACTCCAAGGCATTGTTGTACAGGCTAGTGCCAGTCCTTTCACCCACTGGGCCTCGAGGGAGGCTGTTGGCTTTAACTGGACTCTGGACGTTGTCTTGACTGTTCCAGGTCACTTCACAGTAGGAAAAGGAACAAATGTCTGGCCCGCAGACATTACATGTATCAGTAGACCAGTGGGCCGGTCCCAGTGGTAAGTGGACCAGTTTATTATTACAGGAATGTGGGACTGGATCTTGGCGCTGCTGATGTCAGGTCTCTATTGCCTTGTAACAGTAAAGGAATGCCACGGAAGTCAATCCAGATACCACAAAAGGGTTACTTTCCTGGCCAGCCGGGTGTCTGACACACACAGAAACACAACCCAACAATTCGTCAAGTGCTGCACATAGCAAAGTATTACAGAAATAGAATAAATCTAGTCCCAGGTAAAATCTTTCCCCAATCTGTTGCTTAGCTAACACTGGCATCATTAAGAAATGGTACAGAAATGTCAGGAAAAACATGTTTTTAAAACTAACCTTAATGACAATGTTTCAGAAAGTACAACCCCTTGACTTAAAGGGAACATTCTTTTCTTAGAAATGGGGCCCCCGAGACTTTCATTCCCAGTGAGTGGAGTGGTGAGGCAATTAATTTACCACTTAAAAATAAACCATTAAAATTCATTTTAAACTGGTATCTGACAATAATAATAATCCTTGCATTTGATATAGTGCCTTATCACATTGTTGAGACATCTCAAAGCGCTTCACAGAATATAATATAAAGTGGATTAACTGTATATTTTGTGGGCGAACTGCAGCAGCCAATTGTGCACAACAGTGTTCCACAAACAAACAGTCATGGATTGAATAATTGATTTTTTGTGGGGGGAGGGATTATTACCCCTGGAAAGCGATCCGCCAATCGACTAACAACTGGGTCTTTACTTACTGATAGGTAAACAGAGGAGTTCGGAATAAGGAAACTTGCCTAAGGTTTCAACCTGCCCAGGAATCAAACCCAGGTCTTCTCGTTTGTGATATGAGCATGCTAACCACTCCGCTACAGGACTCCATGAGAATCCAGTGAGGTGATCTTTCCTGACCCCTCGGTCACAAGGTCCTGCTGGAACTCTGCTCCGATACTGATCTGTACCGATCTGCCACCGGGTGTCTGTAACCTCCTTTGGCTGAAATCCAGAGTCATGTAAGTTGAAGGTGACTGGCTACTGACTGGAGGTCATTCTCTTAAGTTGGTCTGAGGCCCATTATAGGTACCTGCAGTGTTCGCTTTTTGTAAACTTTGCATTTTACAGCACAAGGTTGGTAAACTCTTCCCTGCTTGCGGGAAGGCCCTTTTCTACAGGAAAGAGCACTGCAAACTATACTTGAAAGCAATTTAAAAATAACATCACAGATTAAGGATTTGGACAATGTTCACCAGCCCACATGTGCCTCAGTCAGTGTCACGTCTGGTGTAGAAGGACAGAGCTAGAATCATTCTGATAAATCATCATTGCATTGACCTGGAAGTGACTGAAGCTGGAGACGTTGTGTGCACACATGGTGCAGTGATTCAAGCCATTCTGGTGCTGATTTGGCCCAGTCTGTTGACTCTTATGAGTATCCAATGTTTCTTTCTAATTCTGGCCAATGGAGATTCAGTGCTATCCTTAACCTGCCACAATGGGCTTAAACCACAGCCTCTAGAAAGACTTCCAACACTCCTCCAGTAGGAGAATTCTATTGCAGGCACTGTCCCTCAACAAAAATGATGAATTAAAGGCAATTAGTCTGAAGTGGTGCCAGTTATGAAGTAAGCTTCATGGTGCAGCCAATGAAATGGAAAGTGACCAGCCAAACTCATTCTACTTAGGATCCTTGACAGCTGTTAAACTTTATTCCAGTTTCCCTTCCAGGAAGCTGAACAGCCGTACTCCATCCTCCTTCCCTTTATTACTTTAGCATGTTGTACTCTTGGCCTCCACAGGGCTCTCCATGCTGTGTGCTGAGAAAGGAACGAGTGTTTGGTGGCCCAAAACGTCCCTGTTGCTAAGACTAGCGATCTGTTCATTGCTTGTTTATGAGGAGACATCAAACCATGAGATAAAAAAAACAGTTTGTGAGGTGACCAGGCCATCAGACATTCCTCTCCTGGACATGCCTCAGTTGATGACTGTCGCCTTTTGAACTTGCCACCATGTGAATACCAGCATTTCAGTCCCTGTTCGATGAATATCATCTTAACTAAACTTTAAAAAGTGTCGCCTGATGACTCGTTCAATGACCATTCCAAGTGCCTTTGAGTACAGCCATTTAAACAAACTTGGCTGATGGACAGAGTGGGTTGGGGTCAATGATTGGGACATTGGCAGGAATATAATGTCCCACAATGTGATCATTATCACATCACATACTACTTTGTGTAATGAAATCGTTGGTACTTTTCAAGGGATTGGTGTTTGATAGACCCTGATATATTCGTAGGCCTCTACTGGTATTTCTGTTCAGAGGAGCTGTGAAAGAGAAACTTAAAGTGACTCATCCAGGTCTCCACTCAGTCTCCAGGATCTGAACCTGGAATTCCTGTGTTACTGAAACATTCCATAGCACAGAATATTGAAGTATAAATGTGCCAGGCATTTTCTTGCATTTAATATATTGTCTATAACATCAAAATATCTCAGTAAAGTGTAGTGAATGTATTTATAATAATCCTTGCATTTGATACATCACATTATCACTTCTCAAAGTGCTCTCCAGAAATTATTATAAAGTGTGGAGACTGGATTTTGTAATAATAATAATCCTTGCATTTGATATAGTGTCATATCATGTCGTTGAGACATCTCAAAGAGCTTGTAGGCAAATGCGGCAGCCAATTTGCACACAGCAATTGCACACAAATAGCCTTGAAGTGAGTAACCTATTTTATGTGGGGGATAGTTGGACAGGACACTGGGAGAAACTCCCTTCCCTTTTCAAATAGTAGCAAAGGCACTTTAGAGGTGAACGCGACAGCCAATTTGTGCACAAAAATATCCCACCAACAACCTTTGAAATGAATGATCTGCAAGTAATGCGAATGATTCATTCAACAAAATTAAGGTCATTAACCTGTGTACTTTATAAACAAGTGAAGACATTTGCCAAATACTTTCATTCATGAAGACTTTCCTCTTTAAACAATGAATGGTAGTGGGGGTGATTGTCTTAAAATAAAAGGGAAGATGAACAGTGTGGCTGAGACCTACCTGAGATGCTAAGCATTGCAGTGGCTTTTGCTGTAGATGTTCCGTCACGATGTTTGTTGCTTGTTAGGCAAGTGAACAGTGCAGGTCTGGTAACATAGATGCGAAGTCTGGATTCTGTTACCTCTCTCTTAATACTGTTCTGTATTGATACCTGAGGCACCTAGAGAGAATCAAAGGCAAACTGGTTTTACACCACAAACTTTGTGCTAAAGGCACAATGGATTCTGAGGTTGAAATTGAGAAGTTTTTGTAGTACCGAACACTGGAAACGGTCCCACAGTCAATTGAACCTGGGATGTTTCTCTGGCCCCAGGACCTTCACATTACTACAGTTTGTGGTGACCTAGTCACCAGTCAACACAAGAGGGTCATGATCTCTGAAGCAAAAAAATGATCAGATGATTTAGACTCGACTACATGAGTAGAGAGTGATAAATATGCTGAATGGATTGCCTCAAGAGGGCAACGGTCGTTACAATTTGAAGTGGGAATAAGACAAATATATAATGTTGGCAGAGATTGGGGGAAGGGAGAAGTATGAGAGGCAGTGAACAATGGTAAAATAAAAAAAAAGATTTTCTGTAATGGTCCTTTCCAATGTTACACATATCTTTGTGCTGTCCTGATCTCCCTGATACACATATATCTTCTATCCTGGGTGATGTTGCAACTCTCCAGAAGATAACAATATTACTAATATTAATATTCAGGTACTGTATATTAATATTATTTGCAGATCAAGGACACAGATTCTATAACATAAATTTGTCTCAAAACGCTTCACAGAGTTTTCTGTCAAGTGTAATGTCTGTATTTATAAATGGATGTGGCAGACAATTTGCACAGTATTGTCCCAATAATAGCCATGAAATGAATGACCAATTTTATCTGAGGGATTGTCGGCCTTAACGCTGGAGAAACTCCCTTTTCTTTTCAAATTTTGGCATGGGATCTTAACATCCACTTCAACAGGTTAGATGATGCCTTGGCTTATTTTCTCATCCAAAGAAAGACACTTCCAACAATACAGCACTCCCCCAGCACTGCAGTGAAGTGTTAGCCAAGACTATGAGTCAAAGTGCTATTCTCCTTGGGAAGGTGAGGGGGTGTGGGGCTGGAGGAGAGGAAAGTCAGCAGTGGGGCTGAGCTGGCTCCAAGATGACATGTCCAGCAATGGAATGTCGGAATTGAGCCAGTCCTCTGTGGTGGAATAGAAGTGGGTTCCCAAACTTTAAGGTATTCCAGGTTTAGGTAAGCAGGATGCACACTCCATTCCAGACAAATGGGAAATTTCCACAATTAGTGGCATACCTATGTGGAACTTTCAGTCTGGTTGGATACTCTTAAGCACGATGATGTATTTCTGCACATGTCACACTCCCGGCAGACGAACACAAAAAATGAGTTCAAGTATCTATTGATGGAACATTCTTGTAATTGAAACACGATGAAAATGTACTCACTGTTTTTCCATTCTCCAGCCACTTTATAGTGGGAATAGGAAAACCAGTGGCTTTGCAATGAAGAATCACCTCGGTACCAAAACTGACATTGTACGAGATTGGAGCCTTCACGATCCTGGCAGGGACTGCAAGAAACAATGGGAATATAACACGGCATGGAAGTTCAATCTGTACAATCTGCAGTTCCACTAATAATCTTCCTTCCTTCTTACGCTTCAGACTACAGTGGTTATCTTATTTCCCATCCACCATTTTCTTTCTTTCTTTCTTTTTCTCTCTTTTTCTCTTTTTCTCTCTTTCTTTCTCTCTCTCATTTTCTTTCTTTCTTTCTTTCTTTCTTTTGGGCACAGACTCATGCTGGGATAGTGTTTGATCCTTTGATACTTCACTGAAGGGATCATTCTTAATGTATAATCCTGGACAGCACGCGCCTGTGGACTGTTTGATCTTCGGGGCCACAGTGACTGGACCTGATCCTGTCTCGTCCAATGTTAAACATGCACTTTCCCATGTATGTAACCGAATAGCGAGTAGAAGTGGGAATATTGATAAAGTTTCCCTTGCCCTAATTTTACTCTTCCTGCTGCTGTCTTGGGTGAGATCAGCTACATCAGCACCGACTGGGAAGTGAACTTGCTTGGCTCAGTTTCACTCTTGGCAGTAGCTTTAGTTTCTGAGCTATGGGGGAGGGGGGCTGTTGGAATACTTAGCTTTATAGGGGTGAAGAATAGTGCACGGTTTATAACAGATTCAATGTGATAATTAGAACATTAGAACAGTTATGAACCATTGGATTTTCACCCCAAGGTTTATAGTTTTTGTTTAAAAAAAATGCTGACCATAGGGAGATGTTATTGTTCTGTTGATGAATGGCATTCATTGTTCAGAATTGGATAGTGCAGTGGTCGAAAACTGCCTTACAGCTACGTCGAGGGCCACATGGGTGCAAACTGTAAGCACAATACACCTGGCTTCTGGCACTGACTAACTGGCAGCGATTGCCTGCATCCGACCGTACTTTACCACAGACGCAGCCGAAACATTTGTCCATGTATTTGTCACCTCCCGACTCGACTTTTCAAATGCCTTCTTTGCCGGTCTCCCCAGCTCCACCATGCACAGGATCCAGCTGATACCAAAGCCCCGCTGCTCGCATACTCTCCCACACTAAACTCCGTACTCCCATCCCACTAGTTCTCGCCAAGCTCCAATATTTGTTTAGACAGTTTCCTGATCTGTGGTGCTGAGACACCACTTTTAGCTCTAAAAGTAGAGTTTTAATCTTGGGAATATTTCAGATTGTACCATTGTGCTGAGCCTGTGGGAGGGAGACGTAAATTGTTCCCTTTCGGAACAATGTGGCCAATGGCAGCTGAGGAAAGTAAAAGCAGCAAAGTACTCCACAACCAGTCCCTGACCAGTATTGCCTTCTCCACCTCCGCCATATTGCCCGCCTCTGATCGTACCTTTCCCAGACGAAGCCGAAACACTCATCCATGTGTTCATTACCTCCCGCCCTTGACTATTCAAATGCCCTCCTCACCAGTCTCCCCAGCTCCACCATGCACAAGATCCAGCTGATCCCAAACTCTGCTGTCCACATACTCATCCGTACTAAACTCCATACCCCTATCACATCGGTTATAACCAGGCTCCACTCCCTATTACCTAACGGAATGATTTCATGAGCCTCACACTCGTTTTTAAATCCCTTCATGCCCTTGCACCTCCTCACCTCTCCAACCTGCTTAATCCCCAACCCAATATCCACTGCCTCCGCTCGACTGGCTCCAGCCTCCTCCATGTCTCTCATGTCCTCTATTCCACCATTGATGGCCGTGCTTTCAGCCACTACGCCCCGAAAATCTGGAACCCTCTTCCTCTATCCCTCCGCCTTGCCCCTTCCTTCTCCATCTTCAGGTTGCGCCTGAAGACCTTCCTCTTCGACCATGTCTATGGTCACCTCCCCCTCCCCCTGGCTCAGCATCGTGCTCCGCCACTGTCAAGTGCTCTGGGATGCTACCCTGCGTGAGGGGCGCTATATAAATACAGGTTGTTCTTGTCGTTTGCTTCTGGCGCGACAAAATGCGCAAACTTCTGGATCATCAGGTCAGCGTTGATTTGTTTCCTGTGCACTGTGCACATGGAGAAATACTAACATTATTCCCTGCGGGTGTGCACACTAGATGCAGAGAACGCAACCAGATGCAATAACAGCAGCGACCTGATAACCTGGACATTGGACATTGTTTTAAAGGTTCACGGTTGTTGAGATACTGGACCATACAATCATGCCATAATGCAACAACAACAACGGGGATTTATATAGCGCCCTCCACGCCAGACGGAGTCTCAGAGTGCTTCACAATAACAGATCCCAGGGCCGAGCCATGGGGAGGGGGAGGAAGGTGACCAAAGGTGTGGTCGAAAAGAAAGGTCTTCAGCAGGGACCTGAAAATAGGAAGAAAGGGGGCGAGGCGAAGGGAGTGAGGAAGGGAATTCCAGAGCTTCGGGGCATAATGGCTGGATGCATGGTCACTGAGGGTGGAGCAGGGGACTTGGGGGACGAGGAAGAGACCAGACCTGGAGGAATTAAGGTAACGGGTACTGTTTTGAGGAGAGAGGAGGTCAGAGTGGTAAGGTTGTGCAGAGGAGTGGAGGGATTTGAATACAAGGGTGAGGATCTTGAAGTCAATCCTCTCTGGGATAAGCAGCCAGTGCAGTCTGGCAAGGACTGGGGTGATCGGGGAGCAGGACCAAGGACTGGGGTGCGGGTGAGAATGCAGGCGGTAGAGTTTTGAATGATCTGGATTTTATGGATGGTAGTGGATGGGAGACCGGCGAGGAGGGCATTAGAGTAGTCTAGCCGAGAGGTGACAAAGGCATGGACTAGGGTTTCAGTGGCTTTTGGAGAGGTATTGGCAGAGATGGGCGATGCATCGGAGAGAACGTTCAATACGTTCTTGAACCAACATTTAAGTTCAAACTGAATTGGATTGAGGCCTCATATTAAATCTTGATCCAGTACATAGATGGAGCACAATGGCCACAAGCAAGCAATGCAGTGGTTTAAAGAGAAGGCCCCACCACTGGCTTCTCAGGCCAGCCAGCAGTGCCTACTAAATGCTGGCAAAATGCCAGCATCACCCTCATCCTGAGACAGAGTACAAGAAAAATGAACAAAGTACCCTTTAACGTTCCATTGACACCCTATTATTTGAACCACATAAATATCAGATCATTTTGCTGAAGTCAAAGTTCTTTAAAGTTCATTCTGTTGTGTTGTATTTCTGGACCAGCTACTAACAACAGATTTTAGATTGGACCATCTCCAGCCTCACCCGCCCACCAAAAACAAAACTCTCCATTGCACAATCCCAAGGGTCAGATAGTGAGTCAACATTCCACATCTGCCACTTAGACAAATGACGCACGATGGACTTATTTATTTCTAATTCATTTTATTTTCTCCTTTATTTTTTTCATTCTCGTTGTGCTTTAACCCTGGCTAAGAGGACAGGCAGTCAGCCCACTTGTAAACCTTTACCAGTACTACCACTTGGGATGTCACCAGATGGAGCACACAGAGGCAACCCAGGCGATCTCTCCCATTTGATTCTCCCTCCCACCACATGTCAGAGCGGCCGACTTCTGCCTTGCTCCTCCCATCACGTTTAGCAGTGCACACAGCAATGCCTCACCAACAGTTATGAAATGGTTAATTAATTCTTACAGGAGGATTGTTGACCAAAACACAAGAAGAAACTCTCTTCTCTTTTTGAATAGTGCCACAAGATTTTTAACGTCTACCCGAACGAGCAGATGGGACCTCAGTTTAATGTCACATTTTTAAAGTTGAAACCTGTGACAATCCAGCACTGTATTGGAGTGTCATCCTAGACTGTGAGTTCAAAGTCCTGATATTGAGCTTGAGCCTATAACCTTCTAACAAAAAGCAAGAGTTCCTACAACTCTGGTTCCCTCTTGAAAGCTAATATGGATTCTACCTTGACCAATTCTGTCTGACTCATTGACCAGGAAAAATAATAATACTTACATTCAATATAATGTTGATAAGTTGGCTCAAAGCCTTTCAGGATTTATTATAAATTATAAAATCTGTATTTTGTAGATGAACTTCTCCTAAAGGATGAGATCAAATGTGTTGAAGGGTTCTGTCATTTGACCCTCTCCTTTAGTTTTGTGTGAGCCTGACCTGAAGATATTTTTTGTCAGTTTTAGACTGACAATCTCTCCCCTACTGTCACAGACACCCTGCTACCAGAGGAAAATACTGATTTCCTTTAGATCATCATGGAGCTTAAACTGTTGATGTTGTGTTTCAAGAAACTGACAACATCACATAGCAGTTGTGTCACGGTGGCAAGTTGCGAATGGAGAAGAGGAGGCAAGTGTAATTTAGCTAATCCTGGCTGACTCTAAAAGATATCTTTTAGATAAAATATTAGATAAAATGTAGTAAAATATTTTAATTGATTGACATCTGAGTCTTGGGAGTGAGTGACACACCCAGGTATCCATTTTGCTCAAGGTTTAACTGTTCTCCTCTTTTCTTTTCAGATCTGAGACATCAATTGAGGACACCCCTCTTTATCTGCCACTGTAAGTGATTTCTACAACAGTGATGCCACCAGCAGGAGCAGCCTGGTTGGACAAAACTCCAAAATAAGGATCAGCAAGCTGTATGTCTGAGAAGGATAAAATTAAACCGGCTTTTAACTCCTTTTGAACCTTCAACTCAACATCACAGGGAGTCTGTTTTTTAACATTGCCTGCGTGCCCCTCATTTGTGTAACGTCATGTTCTGAGAAGTAAGTACCTGCAATTTGTTGCTTGGTATAAACCAGAATTTTAGCAGCTCACAATTACTGGGTAGTTAAATATCTCTGTCCGCCCTACTCAATGCCAATAACACAACAAAATCAGCAGAAACATCTGAAAGTGATCCAAGCTAAGATTGTGGCAAATGGTGATTAGAGGGTCACACCCTTTTCAGGACTTTGTTTCAGATGACTGTCTGTCTGTTCTGTGGGATACACACTGCATAAGGTAGAATTTATTTCTTGACTTTCTCCCATCCGCTTCTGAACTCGTTTGACTTTCTTTTCCTTCCACAAAGGCTGTGAAAGAACTGCACTCTCAGATAATCTGATCACGAAGGTCAAGGGACCCTTTTTACGTACTTCAGCAATGGTTACACAAGCAATCTTTGTGTTAAATAATAATAAAAATCATTTTTTTTAGTATAGCCCTGTTCACCGTAGAGCGTAGTGACTGTTTATTTTGTAGATAAAACTCAAAGCCAATTTGTGCACAGAAATTAAAGCCCCTTAAACAAACAGTACCATGGGCTTGGTAGTGTCCACGTGGACAGGCACAAATGGGACCTCAGTTTAATATCTCATCTGAATGTTTTAGTGCTTTTATATTTGTTTGATTCCCAGTGGTTGAGCAATGGTAAGTATGTGTCTGATTCTCTCAGACACATTGTCCATTAACAATTTGACAACTGTGTGTCCACATTTCAGTATGGGAAGTGTTGGTGGGTTAGTTAGCTATATGAGAAGTCTTGAAGACGTGAAAAGCGCTATGTCAAATCCAAGGATTATTATTATTATATCCAGTTGTCTAGTTCTCAGCCTAGTTTTTTCAGAGTTCAATTTGGACCAGGCATATTTCAGGAGGATCCTGATCTAAATTACATTTCTATGGAATACCCATTCCCGATAAACAAGATCAGAAAGTGTTTGAAAGGGACAGAGTTGGTCTGGCATTAAAATGCTGCAAGAAATGCTGATAACAAATGAAGCGAGGATACCTTTGATGTCCTGCAGAGTTTCACTTCCTTCTATCACCATGAAAAGACAAGAAGCATGTTACAGTGAGAAACCTTCCAGTGCAACAGTGAAACAGAGTTAACAGCCAACATCAGAAGCAAAGTTGCTAATCAAACCACAGGAGCAACGTGCAGGTTTGTCAGTGGAACATTAGCCAGTACACTGGTATCTTCTACTTTAATAACTAATCATCTTTAATAACACAACACCACAGCGCACCTCACTCACCACAGAAAAATGTAGAACTTGCTTTTATGAAAAATGAGATTAGGACTTTGTTCTGCCAATCTTTGATTGTGCCAGGGAATAAATTACCAATGATTTAAGGAAAGCACAGCTTGCAGAGCAACTGATGTTCTGACCTCATGATGTCAGGGGACTGGCATGATTGCTGTACAGATGTCAAACCTCTTGTCTGGTCTGGCGTGCGTTTGAGATAATCTTTATGCATTGAGTTGAACCAGTGTGGATTCTCAATCTGGCCCAGTGTATAAGGCTGCATTTGACAATTCAGTGTGTTGTTGTTCATGGGTAAGTGGTGACAGTGAAATCCCATGTTCTGTGTGTCAGGCACTCAGTAATGATACTTAAAGCAGATGTAGAGCAAGCTCTGCCAAGGCAGCGGATTATTCATGATTATTTTCACCAGGGAATATTAGTGACACTGGGTTAATAATGATTCATTCCGCTCCTCAATTAAACTCCACCAGTGATGTAATGACTGGCTTCACTACAAAACACACGCAATTGAGTGTGTGTGGGAGGGGAGGGGGGTTGTAAGGCGAGGCCGAGGGATTAATATCAAAGAATCGGAGGCAAATTTTTCTGAAATATATCCAGCAAGCCCCGGGGATGAAAACTATTTATTTGTCAGACGATAACAGGGTCTGAGGCAGGATTCCTCAATTGAGCCTTGGGTAGACTTTAACTGAGGTTTAATTGAAGCTGTCCGGGGGGTGGTGTTGGAAGAGACTAACATTGAAGCGAAGCGGAAGTTAAAAAGTAATTCAGTCCTGAGCTTGTGGCGGGAAATGAGCTTTTTTGTTGGGGTTAGGGTCAGATTGGGGGCTGGTGGGCCTGCCATTGCTGGCATCATACTGAGCCCAGCTGCCTTCATTCCACAGCTCTTCAATCAGCCCTTCTTTAAACAACTCCAAAGAAATGTCTTCACTTTATAAACAGTGAGTTATTGGATTACACTTCCGCTCGCCCTATCTAGAATATTTCAACTAGTTTCGATCGCCCCTTCCTTTTTCCCCTGCATCCAATTCATGTGACAGAGCAGGTGAGCTACGGCTCTGACTATCTATGGGCAAAATCTGGTGGATTTACTGCGAATTTTACGTTGAACATAAAGGAAGACGCCATATCCTTTACGCTCTATTTTTGTTTTGCTTTTATAACACATTTTAAGTAGGACAGGACAAATACAGACAAGGCTGGCTTTGATGACTGCTGCAATTTGTGTCTATTTAAAGAGAAATAACATGAGGAGAGGGCAAGTGGGAGGGGTGGGGGTGGCTTCAGCAATGAATGTAAACTGGGTATTATTAATATGAATGAAGATTAAGCCATACAAGAAGGCACATCCACAACAACAAGCAAGCAGCTGTTTCAACACCTTGAGAGCAATGTAAGTTTTCCTCCGCTGGGGTCTATTATGCAAGTTGTGCTGTGTAAATGCATGTGTAAAGAGGGAACTCCAGATGCCCTTACTTGGGTGTTTCTCAGCCAATAAAAAGGAGTACAGGTAGTTTTGTGGACTTTTTCATTTAGCTGAAAAAGACCCAATTAAAAAGGTCTATAATTCCCTCTCTACATATGGTTTTATGCATCTCACCTAATACACACATGTTTGAATCGCTGGAGGCCGTTTGCTTTATTCTTTTGAAGACTGAGGTAAGAATTTCGACCTCAAAATCAATGTCTTAACAATAGCACCAGGATGTACTTTAGTCCATTGTGTGAGTTTATCCATGTTCTGAATCTTTTTGAAATGCTATACTCTGTCCAGCGCCTTGGGACGTCCTCCCGACGTGAAAAGCGCTATACAAATGTAATCTTGTTGTTTCTTCGGATTTACTTTTTGCTACTTGGAAGTAAACGTTTCCAGAAGGAGTTTTTTCCTGAAACTTATGATGTTCAGCATTTTGAAAAGTTCACAGGATATTCAATACTCAAAAGGGTTCAGCGAGTTTACAAGGCAACAAACAAGTTTTCAAAAATGCAAATACAAGTAAATTCCTGATAACAAGACCCTGGCTTAACTTGTCATTACCACTTAAGTAGCCATGCTGTCAATATTGTAGCTGTTTTCCATGCAAAATGTTAATAAGGGACTCTGCTTTACTTCTCACTCTGTTTTACATTGTCCGCTCTCTCCACTCAATGGACTCTGGCCTGCTCCACGTCCCCCGCTATAGTCATCCCACCATCAGCGGTCGGGTCTTGAACCTCTCTGTCCCCCCCTTTTGGAACTCCATCCCACATTCTCTTTGCCTTGCCCTCTCCCTTGCCTCCTTCAATGCCCATCTCAAGACCCTCCTCTGTGACCGAACCTTTCGTCACCCAGCTTCCATGCCCTCCACCCCTCCTGATACCAACCCCCAGCTCGGATGCAATTCCTTGTCTGTCCAGCAGCTTGGGACATCCTCCTGACATTAAAGGCGCTATACAAATGCAATTTGTTGTTGATGTTGCATTCTACAAACTCCTGTAAGTACCTACTTCGGATAACTCATCCTATAAGATCGTGTGTTGGATTGCAGAGGCTTCCTGCCCTATCCTGTGATTTCAGCGGGCAGAGGTTGGGCGTACATGCTCAAATGCATCCCAAAGGCCTCTGGTCTATTAGAGGGCAATGCCGTGGCATCCTGCCTCTACAGGATAAGGTGAGAGGGGGAGGCGGGGCACAGCATGGCCCTCTAATAGACTAGAGGCCTCTGCAATGCATTTGAGAATGTACGGCCAACCTCTGCCCATACCAGTCACAGTACCCAGCAGGACCTAAGCCTACATAACCACTCCAGTTAAGTCCTTTGTTGAGCCCTTTTCCCTTGGAATGACAAGCTATTTGGAGTTATTTGGCGTTTACTGTATTATATGCATTTTATGAGGAGTAACAAGTTTAATTTTTACTGATAGTGGAATCAGTCTTATTGCCAGCATTCCAGTGGCCCATTTCTCTTCTTGACAATAGTTTCTTCCCTAATTTTCTGCCCTCTACCTCTTCAGTGGAGTCCTGTAGCTCAGTGGTTAGAGCACTCGCTTTGCAAGCGAGAGACCTGAGTTCAATTCTAGGCAGGGCGAAACCTTGGGCAAGTTTCCTTACTCCACACGCCTAATAATAATCCCTCCAAAACCAAAAACAATAATAAATTGGTCATTTTCAATCTACGACTGTTTGTGGGACATTGCTGTGCACAATTGGCTGCCGCGTTCGCCCACAAAAATACAGTCAATTCACTTTACAGTGTGTTCTGTGAAGCACTTTGGGACGTCCTCCCGACGTGAAAAGCGCTATATCAAATGCAAGGATTATTATTATTATTCATGTCAATAGATTCAATTAGTTTGGGTTTTAGTGGATATGACAGCTGAATCCGATCCTACATTCGTTCAACACCTGCATGTACCCATGGAATTGGGTCACGGGATTGTGAGCAGGAGTGGGAACATTGGTTAATTTTCTTCCTCCTATCCCAGGAGCACTGAGACCACCTGCAGCACAGAACTGCCATCTGTCCAAATTGAGATGAGCTGAATCAGTATCAAATCTGTGACCATATCACTAATGTTGGAGGTGAGCAGTGCCTTTGTCCATTAGGCCATTGGGGAAGTTGATGGTAATGACATGCACTTTGACCTCGATGCCTCAGGGTCAGTGCAACACTTTAACATGTTACTTTTGAAACAGCCTCATTTTCCATTGCAGCCTTTTCCTATTCGAATTGAAGAAAATCTGATTGGCAATCACAAAGTACTATTCTTAAAGGCTGTAATGCCCACAACATGTCTCAGTCGATTGCTTATTGGGAATAGGCAAACATGGGTGATATTATCAACATGTCCATGATCCTGTCTGTGTTCCCTGTGCTCTGCTACTGAGTCCTTATACTTGGGCTGTTAAGCAGTTAGTGCAAAGCCATTGCAATGTCCACATTGCAATGGAGTCAATGAATGGTATTACACCTTCACAACAGCTATCTTTTTGCATGACTGAAATGCAGCAACATTCAGGGAAGAAAGGCCTAAATAGATTGACAGAATCCACAGTTGCCAACATAATTTGGTGCAGGGAGAAAAGTGAGCATGTTTAAAGTGTGCAGTAGACTGAGCACATCAAGAAAACTCTGGTTATGCACAAGCTATAGATCATAACTTCATACAGCATTCTTTGGAAAAAACAAACAGGCTTTAGCAGTAACAGGTGGCAGACACATGCGCAGAAGTTCTATCTAGGTTTAGATTTACTCTCTTTCAGGTGCATTTTAGAGCATCCAGAATATGGCAAATTGTTGAATTCAGTCTTAACTTTAAATCAGTTTTCCATAGTTCTTAAAATACAAAACATAATACAATTTATATTTATGTAGCCATTTCATGGGAGGTTATCTCAAAGTGCTTTACATGGCTGACTGGGCACCCTGGGGGTAGGAGAGAGGAGTTAAAAAGGTGTGGGGGTGGGAGGTTGGAAGATGACTGAAAGCATGTTTAAAGAGTCTTAAGGTGGGCTTTAAAATTGGGGAGGGGGCGAATCAGAATGGAACAGAATGGTTGAAAGCTCGCCCAGTAATGGTGGGATGGAGGGGACAAGAAGCAGGATGTTGAACGGAGGGAGTGGCAAATCAATAGGATTGCAGGAAGGTTGGACAGAAAATTGGATATACTGCAGTCGGAGATGAAAGCAATTATGGAAAACCAGCTTCACAATTTAAGATTTTGCCAAATTCTGGCGCTTTGCAATTTCTACATAGAGTAAATCGAGACCCCAATGGAATTTCTCCCCTGCGATGCTTGTTCAAGCTGAGCTATCCTTTGCTTATTGCAGCATAGTAGAAACCTCTTTTTGGGAATAGTTCTGTGTTGAGCAAAACGCTCCCCATGTCCAGTTATTGTTGTTAAATTCATTACACAATGTTTAGAACATTGAACTTGGGTCTGGAATGAACAACACTGCTTCCTAAATGTTCCTATCAACAGAGTTCCCATTAAGTTGAATCTAATGTATTAGAAACAAGCAGGCATTCTTTTTTGGCCTTAGTTATTTGCAAAATACCTCTTTCTGTTGCATTTGTCATATTAAAATCTGCACAACAAATGGAAAAAAGCAAATAAATATCGGAAAATGATTTGTCATGCAAATAGAATGATCACATTAACACACAGTGCTGTGTTAAGCCTTATGCAGGCAATATCCTCACTGGCTATTGATTTTCAGATGGATTGTCGTGCAATGCGAAAGAACCACGTGTTCATGAGAAACTTTGAGAAGTGTCATGTTTTAATTGCTAGCAATTTGACAGTCACAAGACCATAAGATCACAAGATCAGTTTGGATGAAGTAGAAAGCCGTTTGACCCATCTGATCTCACCCTCCAGAATATCCATGCTACCATCCTGCCATCATAGTATCAAGCTGCTTTGTAAATGTCCTGGCCTCAACCACCCTTCCTGGCAACCTGATCTTGAGGGTTAGGTTTAAGAATGATTTCAGGAGACCTAAGGATTTTTTTCCACAACACCATCAATGAGTGTTCAAATTCCCTGGGAATGTGTTACTGATCTTGATCTGAAGAAAAACTTGCACTGTTAGAATTGTTGGGTGAGGTGTATGGATTGACGTGATCAGTTATCTGTCTCTTATTCACCCTCATTCACTCAAATGCTCATAGGACATAGACGGATGAGTTACCCTTACAGGTTATTGAGAAGGAAAGTGAAATAGCATGTGCTAAAGGCTGAAAAAATATATTGTGCGATGTGATAATTGGTGCCAGTGATAATTATTGCACCACAAGCCACATTTTTCACTCCCGGTGTTTCTTGTTCTATAAAGCACAATCATTTTGAACAGTGCGTAGCAGACTTACCCTGTACTTCCAATGTGACAGATCTGGAATACTCCAAGCCCAGGCTGTTTCTGGCCATACAGCGGTACTGTCCTGCATCTTCCATTTGGACACTGCGGATTCTTAAGTTTCCAGACTCCAATATGGAGGTTCGAAGATAGTCCTGCTACACATGGAGTTAATTTCATTATTCATCTGACTCTGATTCATAAACACAAAACTCTTAAGAAACTTTGAGGTAAAATTTGTGGGGATTCCTTAACACATTCCATATGTTGTTTATCACTATTAATAGTAATAATCCTTGGATTTGATATAACGCCTTTCTCATCAGGAGGACAACTTAAAGCACTTCACGTGATGTAAAGTGTAGTAACTGTGTATTTTGTAGACAAAGTAAGTTTGTTGGCCAGGACATTATTGTTCTGATGAACGGTAATACCAAAACCTTTAACCTATTTCTCTCTTTCAGATGCTGTTCAGCCTAGTGCAGATTTCCAATATTTCCTATTTTTATTATAGATATCCATCATTTCCTGATTCTATTTCACCTTTCCGGCATTCCCAGTCTATTTACTTCCTTATATATTAACATCCTGTTGGTGGAGATTAAATTTATGGCTAGATAGTGTTTTATTGTATCCTGGAGTTACTTTAAGTTTCTATCTCCTTGAAAGCATAACTCTCTTGGTATTAACAAGAATGTAAATTAATATTACCAGTGCCCTTACGCAGCCCTACTGCAAGCCGACAGTAACAGGAACACCCTTACTCATTTCATTTCCTTCCCATATTATTTATTTTAAAATACATTTATAGTTACAGCCCCAGTTTGCCACAGTGATAGAAATCCAGGCAAGGATTGAAACTATTAATATATTCTCTGAGCATTACCTGAAGGCAGCTTTTGGAGCCAAAGGGAGAAGGAAATTAGTTCCAGCTGTTGACATTGATAAATCGTGCACCGACAGACTATTACAAGAGAAAAATGTATTCAGTGGTCTGTTTCTCCCACACAAGTGATACAAATTATTAATATACCTAGTCTTTACAATGATATAAATAGTTTTGGATGTTTGTGCAGTTAAATCAATCTTAGTAAACTGCTCAAAATTGACTGTGGTTCTTTGCAGTTCATGTAAAAGTAAAAACCTTGAACTGTTTTTGGAGTTGGGGAGGTGGGGGTAACACTGTTTCTGAGTTAAATCCAGTCGAACTGGCCAGGTTTGCATTCTTTTTCTTGGCTACCCTTGTTGTGGAAGGGCTATTGTTCCACTGTGAAACAATAAATAATCAATTGCATCTCTTAGAATGTTTATAGCATTGAAGAAGGTCATTTGGTTCATTGTATCTTTGGTGCTGCGAAGTGTCCAACTGGAGCGATTGATCTACTCTATTCCCTTTGTCAGCCCTTAAATATTTGTATTATGTTTCCTCAAGTATGTATCCAATCTCCTGTCAAATTGCTGCCATGGGATCAGCTTCAAGGGCCATTTACAATAAAATATTCCACAGTCTGTATAAAAATAATTGTATTAACTCCCTCCTTTTCCCTTTGCCTACATTGAGTGCATTATTCTAGCTTGAAACCAGACTCTGTGGTATCAGAGCACCAACACTATCACCACTACATCTGGGTGTCCGAGCATCCAATGTAACAATACTGGGAGGGGATGTCACGCAGGTTAAGATTTATTCTATTGATGTAACATTTTAGAGCATCCAGAATTTGGTAAATTGTTGAATTCAGTCTTAGCTTTGAAATCATTTTTCTGCAGTTCTTATGAGAAACTTAAAGAAAACTGTCTTCACAATTCAAACTACATTTAAAAAAAATGCTTAATTCTGGAAGCTCTAAAAATGCTACATAACTGGAGCAAATATAAGCCCAAGTACAATTTGTCAGGCTAGCTCACTTGGTAGCACTCTCACCTCTGACTCAGAAAGCTGTGTGATTAAACCACGAGTTGGGACTTTGAACTCTTAGCGCTACATCAATAGAGTAAATCTTGACCCCGATGAAATCCTTCCCCCATCCAGTTTCTTCCAATGTCCTGGCCAACAGTTCCCCAGATAAAATTTGGACTCATTTCATGACTGTCTGTAGGACATTGCTGTGCCATTCAATCCACATATTGGAAACTGCTCTCGCCTACAGATACACAGTCACTTCATCATAAGGTGAATGTTTGTGAAGCTCTTTGAGATACTTCCAACAAGGAGATATATCAACTGCAAAGATCATATTATTATAATCTCTCCCCTTTGATGGGTATGTGACAGTACATTGTATTGATGCTCTGAGCTTCAGAGCTCCCTGATTTCCGCAGCCAGGATAACCTTAAATGTAGTTTGGCACAATGGAGATACATTGGTAGCCTCAGGAGACAAGGCTCAACACCAAAAGCAAGTGTAACAATGGGAATCAAAATGATTACAGAGTTTGGCCAATATAGAAGAGGATCCCCATGCAAAGGGTGGTCTGAAACAAAGACGATCCGAATTAAGCATGTCAATCAGATTATTTTTCACCTGCTCAACATCTGGGTCGAGTGTGTATTTTGAGATCTGTGGAAGTTGCTTATTTGCTTACCTTCAGTGCAGCCTCATCCTTGATCCATGAAATCACTGGTTTTGGATTTCCCATCGTACCACACGGTAGCACAACCTTTGAACCCAGCAGCACTTTCACATCAGTAGGTGGTCGAGTGATTTTTGGTTCTAAGAACATGAGGTAAAAAAAGTGTCACTGGGCTGGGGCTATAGATTCCCCCTGTCACTGCAACTAATATTTCCTGTAATATTTCCAGTAGAGTTCTGTAGCTCAGTGGTTAGAGCACTCGCTTTGCAAACGAGAGACCTGAGTTCAATTCCAGGCAGCGCAAAACCTTGGGCAAGTTTCCTTACTCCACACACCTAATAATAATCCCTCCAAAAAACCCAAAACAATAATAAATTGGTCATTTTCAATCTACGACTGTTTGTGGGACATTGCTGTGCGCAATTGGCTGCTGCGTTCGCCCACAAATATACAGTCAATTCACTTTACAGTGTGTTCTGTGAAGCGCTTTGGGACGTCCACCCGACGTGAAAAGCGCTATATCAAATGCAAGGATTATTATTATTATGCATTATAGTTAGGATACCAGGAAACATTTTAAACAAATAAACATGTTTAAGGGCTATTATAGTTATTTTTATCCACAAAATAAAAAATCAGTTTTTTCGGGGGGTTTTTAAAGAGTCTATTTTTTATAATAATAATTATTGCATTTGATATAGCGCATTTCACATCTTCTAGATGTCTTAATGTGCTTCACAGAATATACTGTAAAATGAACTGACTGCATTTGTGGGTAAAACGCGGCAGCCAATTGTACACAGCAGTGTCCCACACACAGTCGTAGATTGAAGTGACCAATTTTTTTTGAGATTATTATCCCCAGAAATGCGATCTGCCAATCAACTAACAACTGGGTTCCTACTCACTGCTAGGTAAACAGAGGAGTGTGGAGGAAGGAAACTTGCCCAACATTTCGACCTGCCGAGAATCGAACCCAGGTCGCTCGCTTGTGAGACAAGTGCTCTAACCACTGAGCTACAGGACTCCCAAACTTTGTTTTATGACAAAAAAGGGAGAAAATCGATGGGGGGGGGTCGGATTTCATACAGGAAACACTGGATAAAATTGGTGCAAATTTGGATTTATTTTGGAACTTTGAAAACTCAAGTAAACGAGTAAGAGACTATCAAAAGTAGTTCATTTATTGATGAACATAATTGTTGACACAATTGAAAGCCAATTATCCACACAAATGGAGACCACCAGCATTGCAAGAAATCAACCAGTGTGAATAATTGGACATCAAACAAAATACAAATTGACTGCAGCACTAACTAAACTTTTGTTCAATTAAAAGTTGTACTGTCACCATAATTCCATGCTGTGTCAGTCTTTCTTTCTCTCTCCCTGCCACTCTTTCTCTCCACCTGCCCATTTTCCATTCTAGCAGTCTTGCCTCTGAGTCCGAAGATTGTGGGCTCAAGCCACACATTGGGACTTTGAGCTCCCAGTCTAAGCTGACACTCCAATGCAGTGCATTGTCAGAGGCGTCATCTTTGGATGGGATGTTAAACCCAAGATTCTGTCTGTCTGTTTAGGCGGACATTAATAATCCTATGGTAGTGTTTCAAGAGAGAAGAGAGCTTCTCCCCCAGATAGAACTGATCATTCACTTCATGAAGTCTGTTTGTAGGACATTACTGTGGACAAATTGGCTGCTGGGTTTCACCACAAAATGCATTGTCACTATATTTAACAGTATAGTGAAATGCTCTGTGAAATGCTTTGTGACTCTTGATGGCATGATAAGGCGCTGTACCAAATGCAAGGATTATTATTATTAAGTACACAGGATGAAGCGTTGACTGTGTTGTGCAAACCTATTGTTGTTGGAATTGGTTGAAGTAAGTAAACAATGGTGTGAGACTTACTCATTTTGACCTGTAAAGCCCCGCAGCTTTGCACAGGGCTCCCGATACCATTGTTGGCAGTACAACAGTACACACCATTGTCTGTGTCTTCAACACTGAGAATGGTTAAAATCTGCCCTTTCTCTGTTGTGCTGTAGCGTGTGTCAAACGGCCTGCGAAAGAAGGGGCAAACCAATGGATTTATTCATCAAACGATTTAACAATCACACAGAAAAGTGCGTGCAGTTTAGAATCAAGTGCAGAAAGTTGTAGATCTATGTTCAGTTTTTAAAAGTCTGGTTCCAGAGGCATCAGTCACCCGTCAATACCTCACTCAGTATTTTAATGTGTGAGCCCAGACACGGAGTGTCAGCAACTTCATGCAATATTCCCACATGGACAATTTTCAGTAGAAGTCACTGGGTAGCAATGGTTTGTTTAATCCACTTCCAGGGTAGCATCACTGAGGTATGGTAGCACCCCTGCTGAACTCAACCAATTCAGCACCGACTGCGGATCAAAATGGGGTCCTTCCTCATCCGCGTCACTCACTTTTACACTGGGAGGTGAGGGATCAACGAACTTAAATGCTTATATCTTACCAAAAAAGCATATGCAACAAACAATTTCACTCTGAACAAGAATTTCAGGACATCCCCAATATTGAATGCCTCACTAGAGCATGGGTTCACTTTTGATTGGGTTACCTGTGGACCTACAGTTTCTACATACAATACACTTCCGACACAAGAAAATTGCTGACTTCACTTCCTCATGCTCACTATCAACAACAACAAGATTCAATTTCTAGAGCGCCTTTCATGTCGGGAGGACGTCCCAAGGCGCTGTACAGTTGGGTCAGGACCCGAGCAGGGGGGAAATGGTCAGGGTGAGGGGAGGGAAGGGAGGGAGCGAGGAGGGGGTAGAGAGTCGAGAGGGGAGCTGAAGGCACGGTCAAAGAGAAAGGTCTTGAGACCGGCCTTGAAGGAGGAAAGGGAGGAGGCGGCGAAGGCATTGGGGGATAGTTCCAGAGCCTCGGGGCTGAGAGGCTGAAGGCCCGGCCACCGATGGTAGGGTGGTTGGGGCGGGGGATGTGGAGCAGATCGGAGCCAGAGGAACGGAGGGTACGGGCAGGTAAGTAGGGGATAGTAGGTCAGAGAGGTAGGAGGGAGCAAGGCCGTAAATGGCCTTGTAGGTGAGGATGAGGATCAGCAGGAAGCGATGTTTCTGTCACTTCCTGCATACAACAACAACAACAAATTACACTTGTACAGTGCTCTTCAAGTTGGAAAGATGTCCCAGGGCGCTGGATAATCAGAGGTTTTGGACCCGAGCTGAGAGTTGGGGTCAGAAGCGGAGGAGGGTAGGATGGGTGGGAGTGGGGCCGAAGGCATGGTCGAAGAGGAAATTCTTCCGACGGAACTTGAAGGAGGCAAGAGAGGGGGTGAGGTGGAGGGATTGCGGGATAGAGTTTCAGAGTGTGGGGGCGGAGATGTTGAATACTCAACCGGCATTGGTGGGGCAGAAAATGCAGGCCGGTGTCCGCCGAGCGGAGGGAGCAGACAGGCTGATATGGAGTTATGAGGTTAGAGAGGTAGAGGGGAGCAAGACCGTGGAGGGCCTTGAAGATAAGAACAAGGGCTTTGCACTCAATTTTCTGAGGAATGGGGAGCTAGTGAAGCCGGGCAAGAACGGGGTTGATAGGTTCCGAAGCCTGGTGCAGGAGAGGACACGGGCTGTAGAGTTCTGAATAATCTGCAGTTTATGGAGGGAAGAGTTGGAAGTTCCAGTGAGCAGGAAGTGATCTCATAGTGACCCAGTGATCTGAAAGACCATTTTTCACACATCATTTCACTCTTAATCTTCCCTTACTTACATTGTTCACACACACACTGGGACACAACAAGGACACTGAGAATGAATAACCCAGGGACAATAATATGTTTGTGATTCATAGATACTGAGGGCAATGATAGTGTTTCTGACCCAGAGACACCGAGGGCAATGACTATGATTGTGACCCAGGGATACTGAAACCAATTGAGTTTCACTTCACCTTAACCTTGATGCAATGAACTCCCACAGCACAGGTTGGTTGGGGATGGGGGCGGGGAGGTGGGGTGCGTGTAGGTGGGGATGGTTGAAGCTGGGCTCTGCCTGGGATCCACAGAGCAGTGGTGAGTTGACTATGAGGGCAGACAATAATAAAAAAGTTGATTTCCTAAATAAAATACTTAAAGGGGTGAAAATTGCAACCTGTAAAGCTCATCTTGTTCCCTGCCTTTATCAATAATATGATAAATTACACATTTACGAGCCTCAATTTATACACTGATAATGTGTAATGTTACTTCATTCCTCTTTGACTGCCTCCAATATTGCCACAGTGAAGTTTTCCATGTGGGAAGCATGGATGTACAGCTCTATCCTACGTGGCGAGAGGATGCAGCAGGGAGGGGCCTGAATAGCAGAGTGGAATAAATGGATCAAAAATGATAGTTTAAAAACATAACACCCACAATCTTCTCCTGGCATGAACAATGAACAAACACATTCCACCACTGTTTTGCTGGGCCACAGCTCCAGCTCACCCGACCGAATGGGTAGTCAAAGCTACACTATGATAACTATGATAGAAGCCCAATTCCAATTCTCTCTAAGTTTGCCGCTCTGTGTGTGTGTATGTGTGCTTACCTTATAGGAATGTTATTGCGCGTCCAAATGATCTCAGCTGGTGGATGGGAATCCACTGCACACAGGAAGGTGGCTTCCTCTTCCACCAGTGCATCCACTGTCTCCAGAGGACTGGTGATCTGAGGAGCTGCAAAATCACATGCACGTTCACAAAATGCAGCAATAATAATTTTAAGGGGCTCAAGTAAATCCACGTTTATTGATTTAATCTTGTTGTCCCTTCCTTCCGATGATATTTCCTCTCTGTGGGGAAGCCCACGTGTAACAAATCTGGGAAACCTTTTTTTAAATGCAGTTCAAACAAGCCCAAACGTGGAACACCATGCGTAGCAGAGAGGATGTCACCATTATTAAACCTAACACGCGATCCTATTGCATGCTTAAGTCATAATATTTGACTTGGAGATATTACAGTAAGCTGGTTACTTCTACTGATTACAGGCAAATGGCTTGCATTAAAATCTGTGGCACGGAAAAGCTTCACACAACAAAGCTTCTGACACCCAGAGAGTTAGTTTTACATAGGTTGACGTATGTTACAAGGCAAAGCACACTGAGGGAGGTTGAGATGACATTTAAACAGTTACAGAGTGGAGCAAAAGTCAATATTACTTCAGTTCAGGTGGTGCTGCTGGCTTAAAATCCACTCTGGCTTTTGTATCTTGTAACAAAACATGTGATATTTACTGCTCTATTTAGCCTCCGAGTGTTAGCTTGCTTCATTTTGTATGACTCTTGCTTCCAAGTCAAAAAATGTGAGTTCTGTTCCCATAATCTGATATCAATCAGTTATTAATTTTCATCACAACCATTGATGAAATTTTTGCTCTGCATGACAAATTATTTAAGATAATTCCTTTGAAAACTGGTAAAAAAAAAGGGGTTCGACATTTACAAGGTTCTTTCTTAAACTGTCAGTAAATACAGTGGATTTTACAAGTGTTGCTGCATTATGACGGATGGTGCTGAATCAATGATCGGCTGTAAGAACGATTTGGTTGGTTTGCTGAAACAAAATGGAATTCAATGATCTACCCTCCACTGCATCGTACACCAAGAATCCCTTTGCGGAAAATCAGTGAAAATGAGGAATGTGATGACCAGTGTCATCAAAGTGATCAATATCAAGTGATCACGTGGAGGAAATCAAGCACAGAAAGAACATAAACTTCCTCAAAGAATTAGATGCAGAATATGGTGATTTACCCCTCTATTCACAAGAGCTTTGGCTGAGTGCACACAAATGCCTTTTGCAATTTTTTTGCACTTAGGAAGGAGGTACTTTCATTTCTTAAGGAACATGTAAAGAGCAATACCACACAGTTTGAAGGGGATTTGGAAGATGCAACCTCCTTGTGTTCATTGGCTTTCTTAACAGACATAACACGCCATCTCAACATTCTCAATCTTTGGCTACAAGGTAGAAATCGGAATATTTTGCACCTTATGGGGCATGTTGACGGGTTCTGCTTAAAGCTAGAACTGTTGAACACATCCCTCTTACAGAACAACCTCATCCATTTTCCATCTTGCAAGGAACTTGCTGAGGCTGATTTTCACAGCTTTTCAGAAATCATAACAAAGCTATTGGATGAGTTCAGGGTCAGATTTGCTGATTTTGAGGGTTTGAGGTCCAGCATCCAACTATTCAACTATTCAAAAATCCAATGAAAGTGTTGATTGAGCAGTAACCAAAATATCTTCAGATGGAGATGTGTGAACTGCAGAATTCTTTCTTCCACTCAAGGAAAAATGAGATTCACGAAACTTCTGGAAAATTGTTCCTAAGAATCATTTTTCTGAATTAAATGGCTTTGCACTGAAGATGTGTTCTATGTTTGCAAGCTTATACATTTGTGAAAGAATATTTTCTACAATAACACACGGTAAATCCAAACATTGCATTAGGCCTAATAGAGTGCTTTCTCTGACTTGTCACTACTAAATTTGAAATTCATATTGGAGCTCTGGTTAAAGAGAAACACAGTGTTTACACTTAAGACTAAGACAATTAATTGTCTGCTAAGTCAACAACAACTTGAACATATATAACCCGCTCCATGCAGGGTAGTGTCTCAGAGTGCTTAAAAGTCGAGAAAATATGACATCTGACCCTTGGCACACAAGAGGTTGGAGAACCCAAAAGCATTTTAAGATATTGGATCAAGAAAACAAGTTAGTTATTTCTTTCCAGCCATATATATTTGTTAAAAATCATCCCAACTCTCTCTCAAGTTGCCAGCTATGCTGGACTGTGGCTCAAGATGAACCAAGTAAGACTTGAGTAAGGTTTGTACACATAGCATAGTACCCAATTTAAAAGCTGCACCCCCAATCTGCTCTCATTGCTTTAACTGGGTAGAGTTTAGATGAGTGGGGGGACTGAGATTGATGGGTTGAATGGGATTGGTAGGTCTAATGGGACTGGTGTAGATTGCGAATCCAACTCAGAGTGTAAAGGGAGCTCCTGGGGATAAGGCATAGCCAGTGAGAAAATCCCTCCTTGTCAGAATTCTGATGCATAATGGGACAGGAGGGAAGAAGACACTTGAGAGATTTGTGCAAGGAAGAGATAGAGAGAGCGAGAGATAAGAATGTGAACATCAGAAGTGGAGGAAGAGCAGGTAAGGTTGACTGAGGGACAATAATGTGAAAGGAAATAATAATATTTGATATAGCACCTTATCACGTCATTGAAACGTCTCAAAGTGCTTCACAGGATATACTGTAAAGTGGATTGACTGTATATTTTGTTGGCATACCGCGGCAGTCAATTGCACACAGAAGTATCCCACGAACAGTCATGGATTGAGTGACCAAATTATTATTATTTTTGAATGGAATATTACCCCCGGAAAGTGATCCACCAATCGCCTAACAACCAAGTTCCTAATTACTGCTTGGTAAATAAACTCAGTAAGTGAAATTGGCACTGTGCTGGCTGTTGTTCATTTAAAGTTCTCAGGTTGCCTAATGGACTACTTTATTGCAACCATCTCTTTAATAACATTAAAATGATAAGATCCAATTCTGGTGTTCTGCCAAGGCAGGCACACACTCTCAAAACATCAAAGTTGGGTATTTCTTATCACAGCCTGCATTTGATGTGATGTACAGCAGGAAGTATAATTCAAGTTCGTTCTTGATGGTGTTGAACTGCAGAGAAGGAGACTGCTCTGCTCCTGGGGTAAACACATAATGTTAATAACCTGGATCAATTAATTTGATTTTATTCTCAAATGTTTTTTGACAAATCAAAATATTTGGTAACAGGTTCACATTGAACTGAACTTTATTAGTGTGCAAAATCTTTGCTATCTTTGCTAAGTGGTCTTACTCTGATTGTTTAGGTATTTCACTGTCCCAATACAAGGTGCTCATAGGCTTCCTGGTGTCCCAAATTGTCACCGTTCAGTTGTCTAATCCTCCTCCATTTCTCCCTGCTCCCCCACTACCCACCTTCCCCAGACCCTCTTGTCCTGTCCCCACCCCTTTTCCTGCATGTTTTCACCCCTGTCTCTCCCTCATCTCCCAAATTAAGTCTATCACTTGCTCCCTTGACTCTATAGCAACCCAGATCTTGTGAAACCAATTATCCCTTCTTTGGCCCCATGCTGGCCAACCACAAATACTTATATAGCGCCTTTCACGTCGGGAGCACGTCCCAAGGCTTTGACATCATCAATCTCTCCCTATTCTTCAGAATCATATCTTTGAAAATTATGTCATAGTCACTGCCCACCACCACCCCACCCAACAAATAATCTATCTTTCAGAGGATCCAGTTCAAGATCCTGGTCCTCACCTACAAAGCCCTCCATGGCCTCGCCCCACCCTACCTCTGCAACCTCCTAACCCCATACCAACCCGCCCGTTCCCTCCACTCAGCCAACTCCAGTCTGCTTCATGTCCCTTGACCATTGGCGGGAGAGCCTTCAACCACTCTGCCCCCAACCTCTGGAATTCCATCCCCCAGTCACTCCGTCTCGCCCCCTCCTTAGCCTCCTTCAAGTCCCGCCTCAAGACCCTCCTCTTCGACCATGTCAAAGGCCACCCCCCTTCCCCTCCCCTCCCTTCTCCCCCCAACCCCAGCTCGGGTCTGAAATGCTGTACACTCTCCAGCGCCTTGGGACGTCCTCCCGACGTGAAAGGTGCTATACAAATGTAATCTTGTTGTTGTTCTCACGACCACTTTATTCTTTAAAACTATTGCCTTTAGGGACAATATATATATATTAATATTTAGGGTGTTAGGGGTGTGTGCATTGTCAGCGGTGCCATCCTTTGGATTAGATGTTAAATCGAGGCGCTGTCTGCCTGTTCAAGTGGATATTAAAAATCCACTGTTCAAAAAAAAGAAAGGAGTTTTCTACAGGTGTCCTGACCAACAATCCCTCAAATAGAATTGGGCATTCACTTCGTACTGTATGTGGGACATTGCTGTGCATAGACTGGCTGCCATGTTTGCCTACAAAATACGCACAGTCACTCCACTTTACTGTAAAGCTTCTGAGGTGTGTTGAGGTGTTTCCATTTGATGTGAAAGGTACTGTACCAAATGCAACAAGGAGTATTATTTTAAAGCTAAATGTAAGCTCCTCTCACACTACTTCTTGTTCAAAACCCTTCAGTTTAGCTTTCTATCCCAAAATGTTAGAAAAAGTTCCTTTTTCAACGTGCTGAGTTGGGCACTGAGTATTTGGGTTTGTTGTGGCTGATACATTTTGGAGAACTATTATAATTATTATGTGTGTTGATAATCAATGTTGAGTTTAAAACTATATGTAACTCCAACATATACGAATTTATAATTGCCTCAGTCGTAAATGAATACTGTCTGTCTTTTCTCTTAGTAAAACACGTATAGTATAAACAAGACAACACTATAAAATGCTTCGCAGGATGTTTTGCCTGCTGGAGGCCTTGGGCTGTTTTAGATCTGTGTGTTTTGTTTAAATTAGACTTGCTAACAAACGGTTAAACCACCACTTCAAGCAGTTTAAAGCCAGTCGACAGAGCAACAAACATGAATCGGACGCTCACACACACATATGGCAATTTGTTCACAAAAAGAATTGAATGATTGAAGCAAACCTTTAAGAAGCGTCCCATCAAAAGAGCTCCCGGCTGTTGCAACGAAGATCACCAGAAGTGGAATGTCAATTGAGGAAGGTCTCATGGTGAGATTAGTCCAACTTTCCAAACAAATAAGCCAGGGTTTCCTTTGTATTCTACACTAAAATGGTTTGTAGATGTTAACTTCTCAGCCCTCTCTAGCAGACCCCAATGGAGGCCGTAGCGGATCTAAGTATAAATAGGAATTTTGAAAAGACTAAGACTGGTGGTGATGGACGTGAGCAGATGTTCCTTATCCAGCCATCTGGTGGTGTTAAAGCCTTCTGCCTTCTGTAACAAGAGAAAGTGAAGTTCTCCTTTAGCCTACTGTAGACCAGGGACAACAATAGGCTTTGCTACATTTCCAAGAAGATAGGACATTGTTCTTCAACAATTGCAAGCATTAAACTTCCATACAACATCTTGCTCACAGGGGTGCGACTGGCTGCTATCAATCAGCACTGCTCACCGTGCATTAGCTTTTGTTTGCAATGTATTTTTTCATTGGATCTCACACTTTTTGAAAGGACTTTCCACCTGTTGCCTGATTAATGGTGCTAATGGATTTATTTTAAGCAGGGAATGTTCTGGCTGTGAGATTTACTGGGGGAGATGACATTGTGTCTCCCTTCCCCCTCCCCCCATATAAGTGGATGCTTCTCCCACTAGAATATCTATGACTCGGGAAAATTCATTTCAGCGAACCTCTCACATCTCAACAAATTTCACACCTCAGCAAACCTCCCATTCCAACAAGCCTCACACCTCAGCAAACTAAAATTGTTGCCGCATTTGTTTATCATATCACTTTATAAGGTTTGATTTCAGAGCCTTTACAGCTATTTGGTTGGGCATCCGTGATACTGGCTATTTGTTTATGTAAGGGTCAACAGCATCTATTTCACTGAGAATTAACCTATAGTTCCGGCAGTGTACTGACAGTGCGGAAAGTCTTGAGTGTTCCACACAATTGAATTGACATTTGAGTTTATAAATGAACCCACAAGGTGGTGATCTGACCCAGAATAGATGCGATCAGACCACCAGATTAAAATGCAGTACCTTATTTGATGCAGGTTTCACTCACCAATATTTTTACTGCTCCTGCCCGCCCGAGTGTTTCTTTTCCCTATGTATCCTGGATACCAGGCACACTCCAGGACAGCATTCTTCATGTGAAAGCCTTCCCAGTGAACAGCACCAGGCTGGGAAGCGGAGGGGGGAATGGGGGTGGTGAAGGGTTACAGCTCGTCAGCTCCTGTCTTTAGCACCTTCAGCAGATGTAACTGGATAATGATTAGAGAACCAAAAGTGTACGTTAAGGCTATCTTAAAATCTTACATTAAAATCTTACCTGGATTAGATTCCTGGGCAGGGCGAAAACTTAGGCACATTTCCTTACTCCACATGCCTCTGTTTACGTAGCAGTTCGTAAGAACCCGGTTATGAGCTGATTGGTGGATCGTTTTTCCGGGGGTCGTAATACCTCAAAAAAAATCTGGTCACTCAATCCATGACTGTTTGTGGGACACTGCTGTGTGCATTTGGCTGCCGCGTATCGCCCACAAAATACAGTCAATTCACTTTCCAATATACTCTGTGTAGTGCTTTGAAACGTCTTAACATTGTGATAAGGCACTATATCAAATGTAAGGATTATTATTATTATTGTGCAGAATTTCTTAACTTGAGAGCCAGTTTAGAAGAAATTCAAAGTCACTAGTGTTAAAGCTGGAATTTCAGGCCCCAGGAACGAGAGTCCTGTTAACTTTTCATCTTAACTAACCTATAGTTTGTTAATAAGTTCACAGAGACGAGAGACAAATGAGCAAGACATATAACAGTATTTTTTTTAACCAATAATTATTAAATGTGTCATGTTAAATATCCTGGCTCAGTTGGTAATACGCTCGAATCTGAGTCAGAAGGTTGTGGGCTCAAGTTCCACTTTAAGCGCTCTGGGATACCGTCCGGCGTGGAGAGCGCGATATAAATCCAAGTTGTTGTTGTTTAAGACTTTACGCTCACATAGTCTAGGCTGATATTCCTATGCAGTGCTGGGGAGCCCCCTTTGCTGGAAATGCCATTGTTCAAATGAATATTGAAGATCCTATGTTACTATTCGAAAACTCAAGTGAGTTTCTGCCAACAAGTGAGTGTCCTGGCCAACAATTCCCCAAATAAAGTTTGTCATTCACTTCATGACTTCAGGACATTGCTGTGTGCAAATTGGCTGCCGTGTTTGCCTACAAAATGTACAGTCATTGTACTGTACAGAAGTCTTTGAGGAACTATATCAAATGCAAGGATTGTTTATTATATATAGTAAAGTTGATCTGTGTATCAGATGCATTTCAACTCTGTCCGAGTGTATTCATAGAAAATCCAAATAATAATATTAACAGTTGCATTTGATATAATGCCTTATTAGGTTGTCCGGAAGTCTCAAAGCGCTTCACAGGATTTTACTATCCTTTTTTATATGGAGTTTTTTTTTCTCTCTTCAAGATCACACGAATAGATCGGATGAAAAAGGTTATTTGACTCATTGGTCTCATCCTTCTAAGTTATCAACTATACCACCCTCCTGTTATGGCATCAATCTATTTTTAAGTGAGTCTTGTGTCCTGCTCTGAACCATCCTTTCTGGTATCCCTCTGTAAAGAAATACTTAGTATCTGTGTTCAAATTGTCCTGCACAATCCTGTGACCTCGTGTACTTCTGCTTTGGTGATTATTGCTCTGAGTTTAATTTCTCTATCCCATTTAACATCTGTGTATCTCGATAAGATCTGCTCTGAGACATTTCTTCTCATCGCTGAATAGCCATAGCTCCTAAGACATTGCTCCTCACAGTTCACTCCTCTAACATAGGGGATCATTTCACATGGTTGAATTCCATGTTCAATTTTAGAAACACATTAATTCAGTCTCAGCTACCAAATGAATCCTGAATTCAAGAATTTTCCAAAACATTCTGCACAATCTTAAATATTAAGGCAATGGTCTTAACCTTAAAGACCATGAACAATTTTGAGCTTCTGAGCTCAACTGATTTGACAATGTAGCCCAGCATCCTGCTGCTTTGTTAAGTGCTGCTTTGTTTCGACATAGTAAGTAGTGTGTAAATTGCCACCCATGATCTCTTTCAAATTTTGCCTTGGCAATCCCATCCTTAGAACAAGTGTGCCTCTTACTTGGAATATCTAATACAGTTTAGCCCAGTTATAACTCACTTCTTGAAAGTGTGAATTTGGATATAACTTGGTTGCTCTGTGGACCCAGTTCATTGTGTCTGAGTACAGCTGTTTGCTTTCCACACACCAGCTGGCTTTTACACTAAAATGTTGGACTTCCAGGTTTTTACATCACTACAGATATCACTTCCTGTTTGATGCACATGTGCAAAGCAGAAAGTGAAGACACAGTGACCCGATGACCTGGAAGTCAGCCATTTAGCAAAACAAAATGGCTAATTTATGGGTCAACAAATCATGGAAATGATTTGCGCATGTGCAGCAAATAGGAAGTGATGTTAACGGTGACCCGATGATGTGAAAATCAGTCATTTTTCCTTTAGCACAGGAATAGGCCTGAGTGCATAAAGCAAATTAATTGTTCGTTGTGTAGTGAAAACAGCTATCAAGCCTTGTTATAGGGTTAGGGTTTTGTGGATCCCAACGACCATGTTATAATGAGGCTCCACTGTACCTTGCATTCATCTATATTGAAATTAACTTACTAGTTGACTGCAAGATCTTAACTGAATCAACAGCTCCCCCTAGCTTGGTACCATATACAAATCGAACTATCTTGCACCGAATCCAATTCCAGGTTGTTACATATACAAAAGCAAGGGAGGTCAGATTGTTTACATACACAAGGGCCAGTGAGGTCACAGCACTGACACCTGTAAAACCTTACTCAACACCTAATCCCACTTCAATTTAGCATCCTTAATTTCTGTACTAGGTTGGAATTCTCTCCCCCAATCCCTCCGCCTTGCCACCTCCCTCAGATCATGACTGAAGACCTTCTTCTTCCACTGTACTTATGGTTACTTCCTCTCTCCCCTCCCGGCTTCGCATCAGGCTTCACCACTATTAAGCACTCTGAGACACTGCCCCACATGAAGAGTGCTAGAATAATGTAAGTTGTTGTTGTACTCCTCACAAATTCCCAATAACTAGTTACAAATCCAATTAATTCCATATCTCACAACAACAACAACAACTTGGATTTATATAGCGCCCTCCAAGCTGGATGGCGTCTCAGGGCGCTTTACAGTCATGGAGCCCAGGACCAAGCCAGGGGGAGGGAGAGGAAAGTGACCAAAGGCGCGGTCGAAAAGAAAGATCTTCAGCAGAGACCTGAAAATGGGAAGGGAGGGGATGAGACGAAGGAGTGAGGAAGGCAGTTCCAGAACCTCGGGGCATAGTGGCTGAAGACACAGCCACCGAGGGTGGAGCGGAGGACTCAGGGGACGTGGCGGAGACCCAGAGGAACAGAGGCAATGGGTACTGTTTTGAGGAGAGAGGAGGTCAGAGAGGTAGGGAGGTGCAGAGGAGTGCAGGGACTTGAATACAAGGGTGAGGATCTTGAAGTCGATCCTCTCTGGGACAGGCAGCCAGTGCAGTCTGGCAAGGACTGGGGTGATCGGGGAGCGGAGTTTCGTGTGGGTGAGAATGCGGGCGGCAGAGTTTTGAATGATTTGGATTTTATGGATAGTGATGGATGGGAGACCGGCGAGGAGGGCGTTAGAGTAGTCCAGCCGAGAGGTGACAAATGCATGGACCAGGGTTTCAGCAGCTTTTGGGGAGAGGTATTGGCATCTTACTTTGATACTGATTTGCACAAAAGTCCTCGTGTGGTACTTTCTCGAGATCCTTTTGGAAATCCAGGTATACTATCCGATATAGCTTTCGATTCAAAATGTTTATGAGACTGACCAGATGAAATTTTTTTTTTAGTCAGTCTGATACATGTGTAAACCCATATCTGTGCTTAAGAGTATCCAAACCAAACTGAGAGTTCCATATATGCCACCTACACATGGAACTTCCCGTGTCTGGAGTTGAAATAATATAGAAGTAAAATTTGAAATGTTTGATGACCAGTTATTGTGATAACTGGTTATCCGTGGTGCCGAGACACCATTTTTAGCTCTAAAAGTAGAGTTTTAAT